GTGCTGTTATCATGTGGGGGATTTATATGCCTATACTTTGCTCAGGAGAACCTTGTCTTCAACAACCCTTATTGGACTATGCATATTTTTGCATTCTTATTGATAGCCCTTCCTTCTTTGTATGTCACTTCCAATCTTGTATTTTACATGCTACCTCTGGTGCTAAGAAAATGGGAGTCCTAGTATATTTAAGTCTCTGCTGTACTATTGCTGATTGGATATAGTTGTGTATAAGCTTCTGTGACTGTTCCAGAAGTAGAACTATTGGCTGACATTGCAGTAATCTATACATGTTAATTATCTGAGACCTCATGCATTTAATACTTAATCTGTAGGGGCTGCTGCCACAATCCTATCTTCTCTCTTTGACAGAGAGCCCTTACTCTGCTTCTCTGATCCCAGTCCTGCAGAAACTGGTACCTGTCAGCTGGAACTGTGGGCCCTGTGACCCATGGTCCCATTCCAGTGTCTGAAGCAGTGACCTTCATTTGCTCCTTCCTTCTCGCTGGCAGTGAGACAATGACTTGCTCCAATTGCTGGCAACCCAGTCCCAGGGATGTCTTCACCCACTGTTTGACTGCAGTTCTGGCCCAGAATTCGCTCGTACTGTTTCCCCCACAAGAGCTGTCACTCCAGATGTATGCTCCAAAGACTTCTAGGACGTGCAGTTCCATTTCCAGTTGCTGAAACATTCTTCCTCTGTAGCTGATGGCACTCCAGGCCCAGTGGCACCTTCATCCCTGGTCTGATTCCAGTTACTGGCTCTGATTCACACCTATTTCCAGCTGTGGCCTGTAGACCTTAGAGCACATGTGCAGTGTGGGAGGGCAAATGAGATTATACAGAATGATAGTTTTAAAAAAAGATTTAAAAAGACAGCAATGAGCAGACAGAGGCAGGCCTTGATCAGAAAAGCAGATGGTCTGTCTACATGCACCTGGCCCCTTTGTCAGGTCATTTTATGTATTCCCTCAGTTTGGCTCCTTTTGGGTTCCCTTCTAAATATTGCTTGATAAGTTTCATGTTGTCCCACAGTACAGTGTGAATATCCACAGTCCTTGTATTTCTCTTGTTTTCACACTTACTAGCAATTAAAAAATCCAGACTGGCCTTCTCCTAAACTATGCCTGGAGTTTCTTAATAGCCCATCAGTCAGTGACTGGAGGCTTTTGGTCATCATTACTGTTTCTGTTACATCTGCCAAGTTTATGGCTCTTTTTGTTTATCTTTTCACATTTTACTTATTCCCCCTTTTTCTTTGCTTATTGCTTTCTGTTTATCTGCTTTACAATGAAAGGTCTTTGGTTGGATAACCTTAATGAAGCAGGTGCTCTTCCATATAACCTTATCTATAATCAGTGGATATATGGATGTTATAACTGAAAAATATACAGGGAAGTTAGGCTAAGCAGGTTATCACACCAAAGAAGAACAGGTGGAAAGCTTACCCTTGTCCTGGGCTCGCTGAGAAGGCTCCAAGAGGAGCGATCTCAAGATCCTGCCCTCGTCATACTCAGCTCTTCAATGGGGTCTAGGAGAGGTGCAGCCAGGCTCCACCCCTTCCAGTAGCACAAGAGCATTGCCTTCACCTGAGCTCCCAGGGCTGACTCATGGCTCGCCTCAGGTGCTCAATCAGAGGTTCAGGCTGTGATTCAGCAGTTCCCATACACCTTACAACCTTTTAGTATAATCTCCCGCAAGTCTTTTCCCCTGTGCCTCAGCAGCATTCTCAGAAAATCGTACTTTTGCAGGATTCTGCATGAAGGACAACAAGTGTTCCTGTAAACTGCTGTCTGTGTATTTTTACGTGGGAATTCTTTGACTCTGTCTTTTGTGGAAACTTAAGACTTTTCAGCCTTGTAGCCCTGCTGAGAGGGACCTAGGGGTTGTGGTGGATGAAGAACTGAACATGAGCCGGCAGCATGTACTTGCAGTGCAGAAGATCAGTGGTGTTCTAGATTCCATCAGGTGGCAAGCAGGGCAAGGGAGGTGATTGTCCCTCTCTATTCTGCCCTCACAAGGCCCCAGTTGGAGTACTGCGTCCAAATCTGGGGCCCCCAATGGAGGAAAGATGTGGAGCTTATTGGAGAGGATTCAGAGAAGGGCCATGAAGATGATTGGTGGGCTGGGTAGGCTGAAGAAGCTGGGCTTGTTCAGCCTGGAAAAGGGGGGGCTGCAGGGAGACCTCTTTACAGCCTTCCAATGTTTAAAGGAGTTAATAAACATGAGGGAAATCACACAGGTAAACAGGGGTAGGGAGGAGAAGTTTAAAACTAAGGGAAACAAGATTTAAATCAGATGTCAGGGGAAAGTTATTTTCTGAGAAAATGGTGAGGTGCTGGAACAGACTGCCCAGAGAAGTTGCGGATGCCCCATCCCCGGAGGTGGTAAAGGCCAGGCTGGATGGGGCCCTGGGTAATCTGATCTAATACTTGATCTAGCAGCTTGTTTTCCTGCCTGTGGTGGGGCATTGACGCTTGATGGTTCTTGAGATCCCTTCCAACCCTGGAAGGGGTTCTTGAGGTCTCTTCCAACCCAAGCTGTTCCACGATTCAGGCTCTCTGCTCTCCATTCACTTGCTCTTCAAATTGGCACTCAGTTATCTTTCTGTATTCTAAATTGTGAAGTATATTTTCTGTTAGTAATCAAATCTAAATAACCCTCATAAATTCTATTTAATTTACGTTAAATCTTACAGCTGTTTATTTCAATGCTTTGATTTTTTTTTTTTTTTTTTTTTTTTTTTTTTGTAAAAGTATATGCCAAAAGCAGGGAAACTTCGAACATCTTAATGTAAAGTGCATTATTTCTCTCTCTCTCCTTTTCCACATAAATGTGTTTGAGCTGAACAGTAACACCGAGTTTCTTCTACAGGAGATATTTATGAAATCACACGTTTTCTGTTCTTTTATTGCAAATAGGTACATGGCACCTGAAGTTTTAGATGATTCCATAAATATGAAACATTTTGAGTCATTCAAACGAGCAGACATCTATGCAATGGGATTAGTATTTTGGGAAATTGCTCGTCGATGTTCAATTGGTGGTATGTAGCAATCTTTACTTAAAATTCTGTCAAGTTTTGTAATTCACAGATCCTTGTGAGCAGAAGCTTAAGAAATTTTCTTGAAAAACACTGCAGTATGTTTCAGACTCTCTAATTGCTAATCCTGTAAATGATGTCTAGTTGATTCCACCTCTGCGTAAAATAATGAACCATAGCAGGTGAGGAATATGGGAAATAGTCCTGCCTGTATTGTTTTTTTTCTCTCTAAAACTTTTGATGTAAAGAGAAAGAGTAGAGTTAAATGCCCTTGAGATCAACACCGCAATTAAGGCCTAGACATCATGTGTTTAGATGTGTATAGTTTATTCAAAACGGCATGTTTCCAAAAAGGACTTCTTTGGATCAGCCTATGAAAGATTTGGCATAGCTTTCATCTCTTCCAAATACATACGTTTCAAAATCTGTTCAAAGGTAATGTAAAGGTATGTTTAAGGATGTTTGTTTAAAATGTTATTGTAGATCACAATGTAATGTTTTTTATAGAAATAAAAGTAGAAAAATAAAATGGCGCCAATAAGGACCGTAAGTAAAATTAGAGTGCATGTTTCAGTGTTAGGTAAAAATAAAAGATTTTTTTCAACCAATTACAGGAATCCATGAAGATTACCAGTTGCCATATTATGACCTAGTTCCTTCAGATCCTTCTGTTGAAGAAATGAAAAAAGTTGTTTGTGAGCAGAAGTTAAGGCCCAATATCCCAAACAGATGGCAGAGCTGTGAGGTATTGGCTAACCTCTATAAAGCTGTTTTATGAACACTGGAGTTTTTATTGATTTCAGCAGCTTGAAAGTTGTGCTTGTGGTAGAAGGGAGAAGGGTTGCCTCTGGGAAAACTTTCTTTCTTTCTAATCATCGTGGCTTTATTGAATGCTCTATAACTTTGATTATGCCTAAATATTTAATGAAGTCCTACAAAAGCGAATAGCTTATGTTCCACGAAGAATTCTAGTATTCCTTCCTGTGAAGCATAGGGGAAGCTAATATAAGTTACAGCTAGTATCAGTTACGTTGTCTGGGAAGTGTCATTGTGAATAAATAGCTTAATAGGAGGCTGTACAGCATCTGGCTAGGATACAGTTAATCTTCCTAGAATCACAGAATTACATCTTATCCAGAGTTGGAAGGGATCTGTAAGGATCATTGAGTCCAACTCCTGGCCCCACACAGCACCATCCAAAAATCAGACAGTATGACTGAGAGCATGTCCAGGCACTTCTTGACTCTAGCAGGCTCGGTGCCGTGACCACTTCGCTGGGGAGCCATTCCAGTACTCAGCCACCCTTGTGGTGAAGAACCTTTTCTTGACACCTAGCATGAAGCTGTTGCAGCTTCACAGTGTTCTTTCGGGTTTTGTTCAACAGAGAGATCAGCACCTGCCTCTCTGCTCCTCTCATGGAGAAGCTGTAGGCCACAATGAGGTCTCCTCTTCTCTGGACTGAACAAACCAAAGTACTTCAGGTGTTCCTGATAGGGTCTCCCCTCTGGACCCTTCATCATATTCCTAGCCCTCCTTTGGACACTGATAGTTTTATGTCCTTTTTGTACCATGGCACCAAAAACTGCACACAGTACTGAAGATGAGGCTGACCAGCTAGCAGTGCCGTGGTTCATGTACCCTGGGATACACTTGGCCCTTCTAGCTGCCTGAGCACAGTTAACTCAGCTGTGCCCCCATGGCTTGTAATTTGGTAGTGGACAAGAGGCTGGAAGGAAACACAGGACAAAAATACAAGTTAATCAGTGGGATATACCATAACACTCAGTGTCATGCTCAGCAGCTTAATTCTGGTCAGGCTGCTGTTGTTGCTTGGTGGCTGACCAGGTATTGCTCAGCTTATGGTGAGCAATGGCTTCTAAATTGTTTGGTTTTGTTGGATTTTTTTTTTTTTTAATTATTATTATTAGTAGTAGTAGTAAACTGTCTTCACCTCAGCTCATGTTTTCCTGCTTTTACCCTTTTGATTTTCTTTCTCCACTCCATGGTGAGTGAACAGGCAGCTCTGTGGATTGGGAGTCAGTTTCTTGTCAGGATTAACACACAGCTGAGGCAGTAAAAGCTTTTTTTGTTTGTTTTAATCAGGAAAAATGTACAGCTTCTCATTAGGTCTGTGCCAGTTGGTTTATACCTAGGCTGGCTAGTACATTTTTTAAAAAGCAGGCGTAGTTTCAACTCAGCATTCTGCCAGGACAACAGTACTGCTCGTCTTCAACAGTGCTGTCCTGCCTGATGTGAAGCCAGCCTGGAACTAAGTCAGGTGCCTTTTCCCTCTCGTTTGACAGAGGCATATCTTGCAGAATTTAGACTGACTCTGGAACGAGTTTGTTACGCTGGTAGCTACTGCTTGCCAGAGCATAGGAGAATAGCTGCAGGAAGCTAGAACAGGAGTAGGTTGATGTGATGTCCATTAGATGGAAGAGGTAACTGGGTTGTGGAATGTGTGAAGTTAATACACACATGAAGGCCTGAGAAAAAAGATTTGGCAACACAGTGCAGCTTGGAGAGAAAGGCAGTACACACCTACTGCTTTTAATGCTTCCATTCAAATCTTGCAAATCAACTAAGCAATTTCTTGTCATATAGCTCTGAGTGTAAAATCTGTGTATCTATCCTTTATTTCATCAATTTTTGTTCTTTCCATTGTGACTTGATAGTAGCATTTACAAATTTCAAAAAATAGGTTTTTGAGGGATAAAAAGGCTCCAAGTTTTCTGAATGTTATAAAGTTCAAATTCAATGGAAGTACCTGATTTTAAAAAAAAGTACTGAATTGCTGTATATTTAACTAACTCTTTGAAAAGCATTTAATGATTGAGAAAGTGTTTGGGTACATGCTCAGCTACAGAGCACTTCCATGCTAATATTGAGTGCCTTCTGGTTCTTTACTATTGCTTTTTACCTGGATTTAAAGCACAATTAGTATGTTTTTTTCTAATTCAGTACTTCAGGTTAGAAAATAGTTAAACAAGCTATTAAATTTTGTTACAGTATTTTTGCACATGCTGAATAATACCAGATCTCTTACTTACAGGAAAAAAAATCTTCAAGATTTGAGTGTTCTTATACAACATGCCAATGTAGTTCTAGTAATAGACTCCAGAAATATGTACTATAAGAGGCTAAGGCAGTACAGAGGTTTCATGGGAACAGAAATGCATGTAATAATTTGTTTCTTTTGCAGGCGTTACGAGTAATGGCAAAGATCATGCGGGAATGCTGGTATGCCAACGGAGCTGCTAGGCTAACAGCGTTGCGTATTAAGAAAACACTATCACAGCTTAGTCAACAGGAGGGGATAAAGATGTGATCCTGGATTTGCTACCAAAAACAAACACAAAAAAAACTGTAAAAATCCATACCTGCACCAGAGTGGCGTGTTAAGAAGGTTAATTGTTCTACCTCACTGGGGGAACAGAAGGATATTGCTGCCTTTTAATACTGCATAGGAACGTCACTTGTTAGGATTTCTGTGGATGTGCTGAGCAGTTGCTTTGGGTCCTTTCTGTGCACTATGAACCTTGTTCTGAGGTTACTTACAAAACATCGTGTAGACTAGTTTTGCTTTTATTGACCTATGATTTTTTTATTTGGAAAGTTCATAGCTGGTCTTAACTTCTAGTAAACTGTACTGAAAACAAGATCGCTTTTAAAATGGCAACGGTTCACTGTATTGTTCTAGAGTGCATTGAAGGCTGCTTCAGCGACGTTATTCCTGCCTGGTACATTGAGTATTCTGAACCACTGTTATAGTTCTTTGATTCAGATTTTGAATGTACTGTTGGAGTATGCTTTGCTGCCCATTAAGGTTGTATGTCTTTGGAATGCTTAATTTGCAAATTGACCTCATTCAGTAGTGGGGAACATAAATTATGCAACTATCTACATGATTACTGGTTTTTTTTTTTCCATATTTTCAGAACACTACATTGCCTTTAAAATAGATTGTATTATATCAGTAAGTGCTGCTTTTGAGTCTTTTCATGCATACCAGCAAGTGTACAGAGCCCATGGTACTTTTGATTTCCAAGAATGAACTGTTCCTTTCCCTAGGTAAGATTTAACTCGCACTCATTTCAGCAAGTGAGTGTGTAGTTTGTGGAAGACCTTGAATTTTACCAAAATCTAACTCTTTAAACTATTGTATGAGTCTCAAAACATGTAAACTGGTTAATTCATTGTCACACTTTGTAATTGCCAAGTCATGAGTCGTAATTTAAGCTTTATTTTATGTGGTAGTTCTGAAATCTTGAAGACCAACCTACTTCAGAAAAATAGCGTGAAAATTAAGATGATCTCAAGGAAGATTTTCCCCCTTCAAATTAAATAACGGAAGCATATATTCTGTGCAGTTCTGTGGAGTCTTTAGGCTTAAAAGCTAATAGTTGCAATTAAATGAGCGTGAAGTGTACTTGTAACTAGGGAGACTTATTTAGGCTTTTGTACAAGAAAGATAGAAGCTGCCTGTAAATCTTATGTGCATATTTTCTTTGTGCCACATACGAAGAAAGGGATGAGCTATAGAAACCAGTGAGCTGAAGGTCTTTAGATACAAATACCAGAAGACTCCATCAATGTTCTTCAGAAGAACAAAGCTTATGATGGTTTGTGTTGTCGTAAGGATACAGAAAAGCATGCCTGGCTTTAGTCAGACTTTGCCTGAGATTGTAGGGACATCACAGTATCTTCGCAGACTTGTTTAGAAATTGAATTCCTTCCTGCCCAACTTCTGAATGAGGGTAGGGAAACTTTTTAAAATTGTTCTTGCCAGGATATGTTTTACTTGCAGTGGTAGGAAGAGTGTGGTTGATCTTTGGCTGGTAATTAGTATATAAACTAACAATTAACCTTTCACTCTCCAGGAGTATTCTTGGCGAGCAACACACAGCAACCTTAATTCTGCTTTCTTTTTGTTTTTCAGCATATAGCTCCTGGAAGGCTTTTCATAGAGCTAGTAGGGATGGCAAGGTGATTTGCTAATGGTAGCATAGCTGAGATTGTGCCCCTTCGTCTGTGATGCACAATTGGTAACAGCAGTAAGATGGGCAGAGAGCCTAGTGAAAAGGCTGTGTATGTGGCAAAAGTCTTGGCCAAGGCTTAGCGTTAGGTAAGTCTTGAGCAGTGCCAAACTCTTAATGCTTGCTTGGAGATGGGTTTAAATGATGTGGAATTACAGACTGGCAGAGTTTGAGCTGCGTGTCACGCAATTCTTTCTTCAGCCACCACAGTGGATGAGTTTAGAGAACAGGACACAATGACAGAGAAGTTCTCAGTAGAAAACAGTTGGGTTGCAATGTTCGTACAACTGTCCCACCTGTGTGTTGTGTTTCTTTTTGGCACGCTGCTTTCAGGACGCTATCAGTCAGAGTTAAATCAAAATGACTTCACGTAGGGATTTTAAACTACCTTTATGCAAATGACCAAATGTAACCAGACTCTTCATTCTACTTATTTGACATGCCCCTTTAACGCATCCTGTAGGTGCAGAAAAATACTTACAGAAAACAAGTCAGCATCAGAGGAAGACTTACTATTTGCTCCATACTAATTTTAAAGACTTACTATCTAAATAATGTTAAATTTTGACATTTGTCATAGCTTTACCTGATTCCTTATCATAGATACAAATAGTATAGTTCATAATTTAGAAACATCATGCCATGGGAAGGACAGTCAATACTGTGTGACATTACAAATATTATTTTAGAACAACTATGTTGTTCATATTGGAATGCAGTACAGGAAAATTCTGAATGGATATGTATGTATCCTCAGTTCGGATACCACGACTTCATGCTGTGTTCTTTTACATTATAAAAACTGAACACCTTTTACAAAGGCTGTGTCTGTATATATTATGTAACTTTAAGTGTTACCTGTGCAAGATCATATCTTATATGTATGGACACAGGTACACATAAGTATTTTTTAAATTAAGATTTTATTATCACCGGATCTGCTCTTGGAAATCCAGGGGGACCAAAATATTTTAGCATTCAAAATACTAATTTTATATCATTTCAAGTATATACCAAAACAGTTTGAATACTGATGCAAATGTTTATTGTAAATATACGTACCTTATATGTTCACTTAAGTTTTATGGATTCAATCAATTTGATATTTTAGTAGCATTGGAAGCCTCGGCGATCAGTTGGATGCATACTGACATGTAGAATAAAGAGTGGGGAGAATTTTCTGATGCTGAAAAGCCCAAAATAATGCTTTTGGAATGCTGGAGTTCTTCAGGGACCTTCTAATGTTGAAAGCTGGAATTCTGAGATGTTTATCAAGCTGATTTTCCAGGCGTGATGATCTGCTGTCACCCTCCTGTGGTCTCACTTGTAATCCTGAGAAAGACTTTGTATATAAAAACATTGACTGTATGGGAACATGAAGGTGTCAAACAAATAAGAGGCTATATTATATTTTCAGTCATGGTTCTGCGTGTGATTGTCATGAATTCCAGCTTTTAGTTAGTTCCTTGTTTATACTGTTCCATTGAAACAATTGTATGGCGTTAATCATTTCATGTTTATAAAAAAAAAAATCACTATCAGTTGCTTTAAACTCTAATTACCTCTTAAAAGGCCAAGGTACATTTACCTCGTGTATATAATGCTTAATATTTTCAGAACGTTTTCCAGGTTTGCAGTTACATGTTTTTAGAATACGGCTAATCCTAAATTTTTAGCTTCAGTGGTACTAAATGTATTTTCCCGTGCCCCAAAACACTTTCATATTCCATATTTTCTTGTATTAGCAAGTCTGCTGCTGTGAGTGTAGCACCTACCCCTTTATGTAGCTGTGTGGATGGATACTGCCTTGTAAATTTTACTTCTTGGATGATAAATTTGATGATCCTGTACAGATCGCTGTCACTTTTTTAAACCTTAGAAAATTGTGCATTTCCCCTTACATTTCTGAAACTGTATTGTATTTTTAGAGTATACATTTCAGTGGATTGTAAATAGGATGACAGTAGAAGAGTGGATGCATATATTAGGTGCTAACACTACAACAGAGAGATTAAAGGAGTGAAAATGAGTGTATATATATATTTTTTCCATTTTTTCCCCTCAAAATGTTTGAATTGTCTTTTAGGGGAAGACATTACAGGTACGTTCTGAACTGGCAAAGAGTGGATTTACAGTGAGGTACCTGTGAATTCCTTTTCTCTGAAGAAATTTCTGCTGCCATGAAAATGATGAGAAGGGGTTTGCTGATGCTGAAGCAGTCCATCCCATGTATGCCATACAGATGATGATAATGTGCCCAGTCTTCCTTGTATCCTGTAATACGTTTTGGATAAATACAGTGTTGGTGTCTCTGATCTCTTAGCTAAAACAACGTGACTGGCTGTAAATTTTGCTGCTTTTTTATGTTTACATAGAAATAAGCTAGCATTTAAATGTATGTTTAAGAGGACTTTAAGACTTGAGCAGCTAACCTCAGTGCACTGCAGAATAGCCAGTAAAGTCAGCGTGTGTTGAATTTAACTGATACCACAACAGAAATTAAGATACCTTGCAGTTCTACAGCGCTACGTGCGCCTATTTTTATTAGAACTGTTCAGTTGGAAAAGGGCCTACAAAGGCCGTGTCCACCTGCCTGACCTCTCTAGGGCCATTATTCTCATAGCTCTTGAACATGGACAGGCGTGAGGCATCAGCACCTTGCTTGTAAGCCTGTTCCAGTGTTTGACCATGCTTGCAGAAAATAACACTTCTAATTCCCAGTCCTTTCCTTCCACAGCTGTGGGCTGTCCCCTTGCACTGTGAACAGTGGTATAATTGCCTCATTGGACTAGCTGGCTATGTTGGATTTAATGCACACCAAACTGTGGTTTTGCCCTCTTGGCTGCCAGGGCATCAGCACAGCTTCCAGTAAAATCTCTCCAAAGTAGGAATCCGTAAGGTGTCCAGAGAAAGTCAAAAGCCACATCAAAATGTGTTCTTTAAAAACTGTCACAGGAGATTAAAAAATACATATATATATTTGGCTGAAAACATGCCTCTATGCTGTAAGCTGCCGAAGGAAGGCCTAGCACTACAAACTACTAAAATGCAGTAAAATTCAAGGTCCCACTCATAAATCTGCTGGCAGAGGAAAGATATGGCTTCTAAATAGTATAATGGTGTTGCCATCTACCAAGCTTAATTTTATCAAATATGGACTTCTAAATCTTATCTTGAAGTTGAAATCACGTTATAAAAATACACTTGATAGCGAGCAGTTGTTCTTCTGGCAGATGATTTTTAATCTTGAGAAATACAGACTTGTATGATCATTTATATATATATATATATTTTTACATTGCTGCAAGGACTTGACAAAACGTACATGGTCTTTCTGGGTCTGCCCTTTGGTTTATGCATAGTTCAAAAAAAACCCAAAAACAACTGTAAGCTGATAATCTGTGATCAGGAAACATCTGTGAGGCTGTTTTAAGATAATTTAAGAGGAGCTGCTGAATGCATGAGTTCTGCATTCTGTCTTACACAAGTCATTCAGCAGAGTTGGGGTTTGCTATCGAAGTTGAAGGTGGAAAAAATGTCTTGGGAAAATTTGAGGGCATTTTCTGGTTTAGAAATCAAAACCTGCTAGTGTGATGAGGTAGGATGATGAATGTGTGTGCCACTACTTCTTACACTGTTCTATTACAGATCTATGCACTGAGAGGCCCCCAAAATGTCCAGTTCTCGTCATGCTGCAGATCAGGTGTCTCTTCCTCTTTTTTTGGCACTGTCCTAAAAAAAGAAAGAACTATAGATAAGTTCCCTACATTTAAAAATGAGTCAAATTAATTGAGCCCAGTATAGGAAGTGTTCTTGCTTAAGGTAGGCTGAACACAAGTTGTTATTTCAATCACTGTGGGTGGTGAGTGAGTGTAAAGGTCTCGTAACTAAAAAAAAGAAAAACCATAATAAAGGCTTATTTACAAGACTTAGTGCTATCTCTAAAGAAGAAGAACACCACCATGTTTGAAATAATTTAGCACGAAACACTGTACAAACCTAATGGTGGTTGTTGTGATTTCTCAGACTTCTTTGGAAGATTGAGTAAATTCATCTCCCTTCAAAGTTCTGTATGTGGTCTTAGAATAGTGGAAAAAATCCCCTAAGTAGAAAAACATGTAGAACCCAAGGTAAATGTACACTTTCTGTTTGAATATGATGACTTCTAAAATTTGTAATGACCAAGCCAAGTCAAGGACAATTTTTCCTTGACAAAAAAAGCCAACAACAACATAAACAGCTCTGCCCTATTTTATTATCTTCTATGCATTGGAATGCAGCATGTGACCAGCCAAAATGTTGATGGGTCATAACTGGATCACTGCTTGCTAATGTAGTTATATATCATTTAAAGTGGTATTAGTTAACCAAATAATGACTGGTCCAAACCACTGGAAAATAAATAGTCACCTGAAACTTTAGAGGGGTGCACGATCATCTTGGAAGGTTCTGGAGTGCTAAGAGGATTAGGCAGAAAAGAGCAAACAGGGCCTGCAAAATGGAGAAATGAAGCACTGGAGGGGACAGGACAAAAAGGGATGTGTATGGAGTTCATTGTAAGTTCAAAAATAAAAAAATATACTGGAATGAGAGCAATGGGAAAAGAAGATCATCTAATGTTTATTGAGGAGGAGAAAAATGATACTTTTTATTCTAGCTTGCTCGGTAGATCTGAGCTTCTTCAGTTGAAGTATTAACCTATTTGTTTCTAAGGATACTGTTGGCTTTTAATGACTGGTGGTTTGTTGCTGCTAGAGAAAGGATGCAGGCAGTTCCCACTCAAAGCACAAGTTCAGCAAGAACGGTAGGAAAGATGTCAGTCTCAGTAATTTGTAATGGCATCCTTTCTCAAGCAGCTTGATTCAAAATGTCTTTGTTTGCTAAACAGAGGGTGACGGTTGCATAATGAATCTAAGATCAAATCCTAGCAAAGCTAGTATGGGTTTTTAAAAAAATAACTTACCAACAATCTGACATCAAGGCATCAACACATCACCCCGAGGAGGTGATGCAACCAGATGCAAGTGTGCGGTCTTCCATCTGGGCAAGAACAAGTCCAGGCACCAGTACAGGCTGGGGACTGACCTGCTGGATGCAGCACAGGGGAAAGGGACCTGGGGGTCCTGTGGACAGCAGGATGACCACGAGCCAGCACTGTGCCCTTGTGGCCAAGAAGGCCAACGGCACCGGGGTGTATTAGAAGGGCTGTGGTTAGTAGGTCCAGAGAGGTCCTGCTCCGCTCTACTGTGCCCTGGTGAGAACGCATCTGGAGTGTTGTGTCAGTTCAAGGACAGGGAACTGCTGGAGAGAGCCCAGCACAGAGCCACAAGACGATTAAGGGCGTGGAGCAGCTCCCTTACGAGAGGCTGAGGGAGCTGGGTCTCCAGTTTGGAGGAGAATGAGGGGTGTCCTCGTTAATGTTTGTAAGTATGTAAAGGTGAGTGTCAGGAGGATGGAGCCAGGCTCTTCTCAGTGACATCCAGTGATGGGACAAGGGGCAGTGGGTGCAAGCTGGGACACAGCAGGTTCCACAAAAATATGAGGAAAAAACTTCACGATGAGGGTAACTGAATACTGGAACAGGCGGCCGAGGGAAGTTGTGGGGTCATCTTATCTGGAGGCATTCAAAACCCACCTGGACACATTCTTGTGACACAGTTCTTGTGTCTTGAACCTAGGTGTTCCTGCTCCAGCAGGGGGTTGGACTAGACGATCTTTTGAGGAGTCTCCCTGGATGAATCCTGACATTCAGGAAGTATGAGCTACAAGTCCTAGCAACGTGATTGTGATTGTGGGCCTGACATGTAGTACCTGGGCAGAAGTGACATTGACTTGACAATTTTTCACAAAGAAAACTTAGTGAAACTTGAAGAATTAATGGAAGCTGATCCTCAAGCAAAGTTGTTCATGCCAGGCCTACTAAAAGCAAAGAGAGGGTATTTAAAGTCAGAGATGATCACAGAGAAAATAAGAATGTAGAAAAGCTGGCCGTCATTAGGTGTTGCTTAAGCACAACGTGATATAGGCTGATGGCTTTGTACCCAGACAGTGAAATCAAGGAGGAAAAATCAAGGCAGAAAGAAAGAAGCAAAACTGTATGTACAACAGTTCTCATGCCATCTGTGCACATGAAGAGGTGCTAGACAGAAATTTGCTGATGTATCTTATTTCAAAGGCAATGTTGAAGATAATGCAAGCACTGTCAGTACTCTTATTTTTCTTTCATACAGAAAATCAAAACAGAATTACTTTGTTTTCACATGGCTTTTGGGAAAAAAAAAAAAGTGACCCTAAGACATGGATCATTGTAATCTGAGCAGCTAGAACATCAAGACAGGGAGAAAACACAGATCTTCATTAAAGAAAAGAGTGAAATTGCAATCACTCAAGGAAAACGTGCTTCGTAGGTAGAAGGAAAATGATTCTTTTCATACATCAGCCATCTCTACTATAAAGGACATAAAGCAAACTGAAAAATACTGATGTGATGAAGTATGTTTTTATTGTAAAGTAGCAGAGAAATTATTTCTGATTATTCCATGCTGCAAAAGTCATGTTGCTTATGGAAGCCAGAAAAAATAGCAAGCTTTGGCTTGCTAGTCTATGATGAGGCTGATTCCTTGCTTTCACAAAAAAGCAACTGACAGCTTTATCTTGTAGCAAGTTGTAACTTCCTGTTGATAATTGCAGTCCCTGTGTTAGTCTCCCACTGCCATTTCATTCAGTTACTCAGAATATGATCATTATTAATATATATAGTGCAGCTACACAGCACATTTGAAGCAAAGTAGCATATCAGAAGATGCAGATGTGAAGACCGTATCTGTATGTTGGACAGTGACTGCAGTCGGGAAGATTTGAGCATTGCTGTTTCCAGACTGCACCACAGTAACAGTGGTGTTGGTCACAGATGTCAGAGAGAACATTATAACCAAAACAATTTTTTCTGTTGATCACTTTGTAAGCTTGGCTTAAAAGGTGCAAAACAGGAATCTCATAATGGTTTGAGCCATGACTGTTCAACCTTTTGGCTTGCTGGGCTGCACTGAGTGAAGAGGAATTATTTTGGGCCACATATAAAGTATGTATTGTAGCTGACGTATGAGGGCTGTTCTGAAGTAATGCATCCTATTCTGTTATGTTGGCCCACCATGTCAGAAGCAGATGTTGGCAGTAGAGGTGAAACTCCCTGCAAATATCTCACATTTTACTGCTGTACCAGGGAGGGCACCAGAGGGGCAGTCTGACAAAAAGGCATCTGGCATGGAAGTCCATATGAAGCCAAAGGTGTGTTGCTGAATTCCTCCCCAGGAATCACTTTACCTGCTAAGGGGATCCTGGTCAGGTCAAATATCTTTCAGTAAAAATGTATGTTTTGACCAGTAATACAAAAGGACTACCCAAGAATCTTCACTTAGTGCTGAAGAAGGCTTCAACATAAAATCTAAAGTTCAATCTTCTTAATTTTTCATCTTTTTTTTTAAGCTAAGGAAGCTGGATTAAATACCACACGTAACAAAATACAATGAACTAACCAAGCTACTCCAGAAAACAAAGTAGCTGAATGACCAGGATTTTTTATGTTCTAAGAAACAAGGATATAGCATATAGAATAAAATATTCATTTTCTCTTCACCGTTAAGAGGAACAGCAAAAAGAAAGATACTGTTGCAGAAAGTTTTCTGTTTTATCACTAGACTTAGTATACTGGCAGGTTACCTTCTGACAACAATCTGTTTTACACCACAGCATTTGATTAGTTCAAACCCCAGGATTCCACTTCTCTCTGTTGAGCCCTGGGTAGGAATTGATTTGAAATGGGTTCTGTTTTTATAAGGTCTACTTGGATGGTTTAACTGAAAAACAGTACCATGCAGATAAACATACAAAGTCTAAGGGAAAAAGTACTTGGTCTCTAGAATCAAGCAGGTTAAACAACCTGTTTTAAGAACTTGAGCTGTTACTACTGAAAATCAAATTGTAAAAGGTTTGTGTAATTTCCAAGATGAGCTTTTGCTTCCTCAGAAGTGAAGGAATTACTTTCAGCGGTTTTGTCTATTTCTTCTGGACCTGCTAGAGTGTCTTGGTATGAATACCCAGAACCACTAGCTTACCAGAAGTACCAGCATCTTTCTTCTGCCTTTTTGCTTGTGGAATAGTTAATTATCATTTTGCATATTTGCAAAATAATTTTGCACTTAAAAAGCATTCAGGGAAAATAGTCTGCACAGCAAACAGCATTCACCCACATGTTGAACTGAGACAAATTAAACCACTTAGCATAACTAGGGCAAAGCGTATCAAATTCATTCAGGCCTCCTTGTATTTCAGTGAAACCGAAGCAGAGTAAAAATTCGGCTTTTTGGCTGATGCTGCTTTTGGATCTGCTGCTATCTAGTGGACCCCTGGTGAATTATAAGGACGTATATAAGAAGTAGCAGAAGTTAACCTTGGGTTTAGGGGGAAGAGCCCAGCTGTTCAACTTGCATGCAAGCACAGTTATATATTGGCAGCAAAAGAATGAAAGAAAAAAAAAAAAAAAGGACATTTTTTTCTACGGTCAGACTACACTGGCTGCTTTTCATGAATTCACATTTAGAGCAACAACTTTAATTTGACTTCAAATTAAATTGTAACTAAGTGTAGTGTTACTTCTTTTGGCTTTGCTCCATAAAGACGTAATACGATTTAATTACTCTATAGGTGATGGCCAGGATATAAAACTTACATTTCACTGCAGTGTTTTTTGGCATTGCCTCGCTGCTTTCTTTTTTGGGACCTTTTATAATTTGGATACTGGAGCTAAAGAGTATTCAGCTGCTACAGATTCTCGGGGCTGTAAAAATCATGGAGTCATGATAAGCTTGGTGGTTTTTCAGATTGTCTTTGGAGGAAGAAGTCCATTGGGATGACAGGCTGGGGACAGGGTAAAAGCAGAACAAACAGCATCTTGCAAACCATGTTTTTAAGACTCCCGTTTTTCTATTGCCTGAGTCTGACTCAGAATGGCCATGGCACTTAGCCAACAACCATCCAAAGTCTGCCTACTCAACTTTGAAACAGTCGGGATTCTCTGAGACAAAGTAGTTAACAGTTACGAACTGAGCAGTAACTTAAATCTGCTTTGGATAACTTCGATTTAATTTCTCATGTTTTCTATATATATATGAAGCTTGATCGTCACAGAAAAAAAGAAAAAAAAACATACGGCTGCAGTCTTTCCTTACTTGTCTCCATGGGCTGAATCTCCACGGGTTATCTTCCATCCGCCGCGGCCGGGAACTGGAGCGCAGGGAGGGATGCTCGTGAAGAGCCTGAAGGACGGAAGAGCAAAAGCAGCAGCAACCAGCAGGGCGCTTCCGGCTGTTTCCTAGAATTGCAGCCCACAGAGAGCTGCGGCCGGTGCTTGGCTCCCGCTAGGGCCGAGCCCACGCTCCGCAGTAGCTCCAGCCCGCCGGGTCGCTTCGCGACAGACCGCGCGAACCCCGGCCGCTCGTCGGAATGTCCGCGGCCGTCCAGGCGGCGGGGCGGGGCCCGGCGGGGGAACTGCAGCCAATGGGGACCGCCGGCGTCACAGCCCGCCCGTCGGCCCGTCCGGCCCTCTTTTGGCTGGCTGAGGGTTCGCGACCGGCCATGGCGGCGGCCGTAGCTGCGTGGCCTTGGGCTCTGCTGTGCCTGGCGGCGGTGCCGCCGCCGCTCTCCCCGGGAGCGGCCGGTGAGTAACGGGGGAGCGTGGCGGGAAGGCGGCTCGGCGGGACCCCGCTCCGCAACATGGCGCGAGGCGAGGCCGGGGGTGTCGGAGCCTCGGTGAGGGGCCGGGGCCGCTCGTTTGTTGTACTGAGGTCGTGCCGTCCGTTGCGGCTCTTCGCGACGAAAGAAGGCGGCGCGGGTGTAGATGGTGGCAGAGAGCTTTTATTAAGCGCGTCGCGCCGGCAGCGCGAGTGGGAACGGTGAAAAATGTAACGCCCGTAAAGTAGAAAACCTCGATATCGGAGGCGTTTGAGGGCACGGCGTGGTTGAACCGCGGTTCTGATTTCCACTTGTGGGAAGAAAGTCCGCTTTTAGTGAAAAACCGGCGAATTGGGACGTGGCGTAGTGTATTGCAGCTCTGTGATTAGGCTGACGGTGTGACGGGATAGCAGACCTCAGCCGAAGCACAGAGTGCGAGGGCTTTGCCGTGGTCGGATGTAAGTTCTGAAGTGAAATCTGGAGCTTTTATTAAAACAAGAGGCGGCTGGGTGCGAAAGAGGCTGGGGGAGAAGTCATGGGGCGTTTCGGAAGAGAGGCAGCGCTCTGAAACCGTGTTTGCGATGAATGCTGTGCACAGCCCAGCCTTCTGGCTGCAGCACTGTGCCCGGTGCATTGCTCCTCATTCCCGGTACCGTTACTTGATCAGAATTTCTTTTTTACTCTGAAAGTAGTGCCTCCTATTTATTTCCGTGGCAACTACAACGTACAGAGAGCACAGTCGCCCCGTTTGATAGGCTAAATTCTCGGCTGCAGAATACAATTCTTCAGGCTCACCACCATTGGCTGTGCATTTTCACTGGTGATGAACAAAAGCCCACGTGCCATGATCATAAAAATCCCCACCGGTGGAGATGACCCACTGTCACCACTGCTGAAACGCTCCAGCAGCCTCCTCATTGTGCTTACATCCACTGCTTGGTCTCCAGAAATGCTCAGCGAGCACAGATGAATGTCAGTGGATGCAATTGCTTCCCCATGAAGGTATTCAGTGACACACTTTTGCTCCAGACAGACTTCCATGTCAGGTGCCATTTTGTCAGACTGCCCCTCTGTTGCTTTCCCTAGTGTGGCAACAAAACGTAGCAATATTTGTGGGAAGCTTCAGCCTTGATGGTGAGCCGACATAATAAAATAGAATGCATTACCTTAAGAGTGGCATCATATAAAAGGAATTAAGTGACTGTAAGATTTGGCATATTAGTATTTCATCCTGAGATGCCTTTGATATAGTTGCTAAGACTTGAAACCCAGTGATAGAAGTGACTGAGAAGAGCAAGCCTGGGTATCTGTTAGTTCCTTGTAGAAGGGATATGAGCCACTTGGAACTGATGGATAAAAGGCCAGAGAGCATTAAATAACTGAATGTTATCTAGGATATTCATGAAGTGACATGCGCTCTTAAACATATGTGTTGTCTTAGTAGCCAATAAAAAATTCTCTCCATAGGCTGGAAGCTCTAAATTCTTGGGTCTCTCAAGTGTAAGGGTTACTCTGAGGGGAAATTTATGTGATGAAAAATGTCTGAGGCGGTGAAACAAAACAATGAGAAGGTTGACTGACTAACCACTGTTTCTGGTTTTCAGTAAAGCATACCTTTAAGTACATCTGATTGGGGAGGGGGAGGTTGTTGTTTATTTTGACTGTTAATTTGGTGAATATTTTTTCGTTATGAATCCTTTCCCCATCATTATGTTAATATGTTTTCAATCTGATGGCATTACCAATTACAATCAGTGGAACGTGCTAATTAATGATGAAACTTGGGGAGGAATGATGATGCTGGTCAGATTGTCCTGAGGAACAGTGTGCAGGGAATCATAGAATTGCTCAGGTTGTAAAAGACCCTGAAGGTCATCAAGTCCAACCTCAGCCTAACCATACTACCCTCACTCTAACAACCCATCATTAAATCACATCCCTGGGCACCACATCCAAATGGTTTTTAAAGGCATCCAGGGATGGTGACTCAGCCACCTCCCTGGGGAACCTATTCCAGTGCTTTCTGTAAAGAAGTTTGATCTAAATGATTTCCCCTCATCCTGTCACCTGTCAAGAGAGAAGAGACCAACCCCACTCTCGCTGTAAGCATCTTTCAGATATTAGAAGAGAGCAGTAAGGTCTCCCCTCAGCCTCCTCATCCCTAAACAGCCCCAGTTCCTTCAGTCTCTCCTCACAGGCCATATTCTCCAAGCCCTTCACCAGCCTTGTTGCCCTTCTTTGGACCTGCTCCAGCACCTCCATGTCCTTTCTGTACTGAGGTGCCCAAAACTGAACACAGTATTTGAGCTGAGGCCTCACCAGTGCCGAGTCCAGGGGCAGGATGACTTCCCTGGTGCTGCTCACCACACCATTCCTGATCCAAGCCAGGATGCCATTGGCCTTCTTGGCCACCTGGGCACACTGCTGGCTCATGTTCAGCCCACTGTCCATCAGTACATCAAGGTCCTTTCCATCAGGCAGCTTTCCAGCCACTCCTCCCCAGACCTGTAGGGTTGCCTGGGATTTTTCTAACCAAAATGCAGGACCCGACACTTGGCCCTATTGACACTCATCCATGTTGCCTTGGCCCATTGATCCAGTCTATCCAGGTCCCTTTGTAGTGCTTTTCTGCCCTCTGGCAGATCAACACTCCCTCCCAACTTGGTGTCGTCTGCAAACTTACTGAGGGTGCACTCAATCCCCTCATCAAGATCGTTAATGAAGATGTTAAATAGAAGCAGCCCCAGTACCAAGCCTTGGGGGACACCGCTCGTTACCGGCCACCAACTGGATTTAATTCCATTGTCCACAGCTCTTTGGGCCCGGCCATCCAGCCAGTGTTTCACCCAGCAGAGCACATGGCCACCCAAACCGTGAGCAGCCAGCTTCTCCATGAGGATGCTGTGGGGGACAGTGTCAAAGGCTTTACAGAAGCCCAGGTAGAAAAACCACATTGACAGCCTTATCGTCATCCAATAATTTGGTCACCTTGTCATAGAATGAAATCAGGTTTGTCAAACAAGATCTACCATTCATGAACCTATGCTGACTGGGCCGGATCTCCTGGTTGACTTTTAATTGATCTATATAACGTCTCCCAAGATTGTCCATTCCATGACTTTCCCTGGCACCGAGGTGAGACTGACAGGTCTGTAGCTTCCAGGATCATCTTTCTGGCCTTTTTGAAGACGGGCGTCACATTTGCCAGCCTCCACTCCCCAGGACATCCCTGGTTAGCCAGGACTGCTGAAGGGGGATGGAGAGTGGCTTGGCAACCACGTCTGCCAACTCCCTCAGCGCTCCAGGGTGCAATCCATCAGACCCCATGGACTTGTGAGTGTACAGCTTTGAGCAGGTCCAAAACCATCTCATCATGGGTTATGCAGGGCCTACTCTGTGCCCCATCCCTATCTACCAGTGCAAGGGGCTGTGTGCCCAGGCAGTAACTAGTCTTCTATTAAAGACTGAGGCAAAGAAGGCATTAAGCACCTCAGCCTTATCCTGATCCTTGGTCACTGTGTTCTAGCAATGAATGGAGATTCTCCCTAGCCCTCCTCTTACTTTTGATGTACTTATAGAAATATTTATTGTCATTCACCTTAGTGAGCAAGTTCAGTTCTAGCTGGACTTTGGCCTTTTTAATTTTCTCCCTGCACTGCTTCTCTGTGTATTTTGAACCTCATAAGCAGCTTGCTCCCTCTTGCAAAAATCGTAAGCTTGCCTTCTGTTCCTGAGTTCCAGCCAAAGGTCCTGAGTTCCAGCCAAAGGCCTCCCTGCCCATCGGTTCATCTTCCATGACTTGGGGATGGTCAGTTCCTGCACCTTTAAAACAACTTCCTTAAAGTATTCCCTGCCTTCCTAGGCTCCCATGCCCTCCAAAACTTACCTCCCAAGGGACCCATTCATCCATGGTCCTACAGAGGCTGAAGTCTGCCCAGCTCTGCTGACTCCCTTCTATGATTGCACAAGGATTGAGAGATCTGACATCTCATGATCACTACGCTCCAGACAGCCTCCAAGCTTTACACCCCCCACAAGACTCCTCTGTTAACAAACAGCAAGTCCAGGGTCTTGCTTCCCCTTGTTGGCTCCTTCACCAGCTGTGTCAGGAAGGTATCTCCCACACTCCAGGAACCTCCGGAGCTGTTCTCTTTCTGCTGTATTATAAATGCAGCAGATGTCTGGGAAGTTGAAGTCTCCCATGAGAGCAAGGGGAACAATCCTGCAAGGTGTGCCACTTTTTGCCTTCAAATTTGAAAATGTTTTGAGCCATCAGGGTTACATCCTTTTTCTGCATTTGTAGATCATTATGTTCTTTCATCTCCCCATATCATAAGCAGGGCTTCTGCTTTCTACGTTAATTACAGGTGTTTTGCTGCACTATTTGTATTTATTAATGAAAACATTCAGAACTTATGAGTTAAATTGCAGTTTATCTTCTCTTCATGAATTATAGATTTCAGCGTTAAAACATAGTTCAAAAATGTAGTAGCTATTTTAGATTTTGACAGCTTTTTGATTGGTGTTAAAATTGAGTTTTTTTTCCCAGTTCCTTGACATTTTCAAGCTGAATTCTTCTTTTTTGTTTTTGTTTTTTTTTTTAAACATCCTCTCAGTGTTGAAGAATCTTGGGTTTGTTGATGGCTGTTTTCTTCTAACAACTACACGTTTTCAGATGAGAAACTTTGTAAGCTGTGAACATATCAGAGTTCATGCCTAAGACCCCTCATATTGACCCCATGAAAATCAAACTGATTTTCGTAACTGCGTGTTGCCAAATACAGTTTCTATACATACAGCATCGCTTTTCTATCACGTTGCCTCCTGAAGGCATTTGGCAGGTGCTAGGCTCATGCAAATGGAAGAGCAGAAACATGGATGGAAGCATAAAGCACACGGTGCTGCTCCTGTGCTGGCAGCAAATGTTCGGTGTGAGGCTGGGCAAACTGAGTCAGTGGCAGCTTTGGAACAAAAATTTCTTGGATTTTTTTGGTTTTTGTGTTTCGTTGTTTTGTTTTCTGGGAGGGAAAATTTCTCACAGTACTCAGATGGTTCTGATAGGTCAAACATCAGCTGAGTAATTCTCTTCAGAGGAAATGGTAAAGTACTTCAGGTCTTTTAAACACCATCTTCCCTTCCTTGCTTTTCCATAGGCCTGTCTTGTTGTTACCACGCGAAGGACAATCTAATGTGCCGGGATGTTTGTGAACAGGTAAGCTTACTTTATCAGTTCTTCTATCTCTCAGAGTTAAAATCATGCTTTTAGACGGTGACTTAGCAAAAATAGTGGTATAAGTAATTATCTACATGTAAGCACTGCATGTGAATCATGACACGTAATATTGTTATCTAAATGAGAACGTAAAGGTTTGAGCTGTGGCCCTCTTCCTTTTCAAAGTGGATTCTTCATCAGGTTCTACTGAAGTTCAGAAGTCGTAGAGTTAAAATTCGAATTCAGGATTTTGCCAAGAAGTGATCAGCACGTTGGGAAACGTGAGGGATGAGGGTATTTTACTGCATTTCTGGATCACGTGTCTTCTTGAGAATTTGAAATGAAGAGCAGAGTGTTGGCACTGTTCCTTTTTTTCTCCTAGTTGTTGCTTCTTAACTAGCAGTGAGATATTCATTATGATGTATAGATTTGTGAATCCAGCAAAAATGTTCTTACTCTGTTCATACAGTAATTGCAGAGCTGGTTGTGTTGAACCCAAACTTGGAAAATATTTTCCAGAACTTATGTTTAGTTTTTTTAGCTGTGGAGAATGCATTGTACATCTTAGTGTGCATGTGTATATATTTATGTAAATGTATGTACCTACAGCTTTTGTATTAATAAACTATACATAAACAAATGCACAAATTCAATATGAAATTTGTGCCCTTGCATCACAGCCGCCTTTTTTTGATTGCCTGTTTTGAACCTATCAACACTGAACCTGGTTATGGTTAAGGTCATCTTTACTTGCAATTTTATTACTGAAAGTTTTGTTTAAATCGCTCTTCTGCCTTTTTGATACAGAGTACCAAATCCCCTTTCAGCTTTCCTATTGTCTTAAGAGGTCTTAAGATCCTACAGACGTGCTTTTAGCCCTTGCAGCTTCATTTCCTCTCTTTGAATACAGGTAAACAAAACTGTACACGCTACTGTAAACAAAAGTGTAACGCTGAGGTGAAGAACTGTTAAAACTTTATGGTAAGAAACAGTTACCAAATTTGGCCACTGTATTGAGATAGCATTTGGAATACTCTGTTCAATTTTTTCTTTTATTTCACCAACTTGAAGTTCCTATTAGCTCTTCCTATTAGTTCTTCATAAAAGGTCTTCAACTTTTCATTGTCAAATTTCATCTCATTTCTGCTACACGATTTCTAATTAGCAGGTGGGTTTTTTTTTTTTTTGTGCTGTTTACTTGGCTGGTTTGTTCTAGTTGTGTGTTGGTTTTTTTATGATTTTGCCTCATCTGGATGATATCTGTCTACTCATGGAAGGAAAGACTGCCAGATTATTTGGTTATTGAATATTAAATTTCACGCCTTCTGACAGTAGGAAGAAATTTATCTGTCTTTGGATGTGCACTTAAATAATAGATCTGTGATCTTGTGATGGGTGAGGAAGAACAGGCTCTGTCAAGGAGCCGTATGTACTTAACTCATGGATTGATAACAGTACCACCAGAACAGGGACTTCCTTCTGTATGGGATGGAGGGAATCGTCTCCTGACTAGACTTGCTCCCTCATCAGGTTTGTTTTCTGGGACTTAGGATATTGCAGAAATTTCCAGCTTTGTTTGGTCTTGAACTATTTATGTTCATGTGCTGATCTGCTTGGACACCCGTGCTCCTGAGAAAAGCCTCACGTGGATAAGGACAGCTACAGAAAGAAAGGCTTGGGTATGATTAAAGAATCCTGGTAACTACTAATTCCACTTCCTTGTGAGTGTCACAGATTAAATGGGTTACACAGCCTGTGAATGTATGGTGATCACAACAGTGGGTTTACAAGATTCTGAAGTACACAAGCACATGTAGACTACTTCCTAAATGTCTTTATTTTGTTACAGATTGCTACGAATCCCCAGTAGCAAGTACACTTAGATTAATAAAGTTATGATATATCAAGTTATTACAGAACTGTTAACAGCAACAATCAGTAGCAGCTACAAATATATTTCCATATTGCAAGCTACTACAAGCTTATCACTAGTAGAGTAGTAGATGTATGTTTAATTATGTACATTTAATTATGCATATTTTATGCTCTTTTTTTTAGTAATTTGTGTTATGTGACTGGAACCAATCATTTATCAGACCAGTCCCAAGAAGTGGGGCCAACTGAAATCAGAGTTTTCATCATGGGGAGGGATGGAACTAAATGATCTTCAGAGTCCTTTCCAACTCAGTCATTCGGTGATTCTTTGAAATTTCACGCTGGAGATGATGTGTGTCACTCGGTTTGGAGTCAGCCAGGTGTCCCCAGCAAGGTTACAGTCTGTCTGGGAAATTGGGTAGGAAAAATTCCTCTGCAGAAAGTTCTGAGCCAGAAGTTCCACTTTTGTTCAGAAGTGAGAATTTAACAAGGATGTTAGCAAAAACAGTAACCGGGAAAATTCTCCAAGCCAAATGATAGTTTAGGAAGTCAACACCAGTTTATTACAGTGCATGAGGATCTCTTCACAAAGCATGCACACCCTGCAGCTAAATTATCCTCATTTTATACATCTAATGTGAATATTCATAAAATTTCCATGAAGTTCCTGTTTATTCCCAGAATTTCATACGTATTAAACCTAGCACCTGCATTTGTCAGTCAAGGGATTCTTGCATGGGGTCTTTCTGTTTGCCCAGGTGTGATACTGATGCTGAGGTACACAAAGCATAATCTGTCTGTGACGCCAGGAGGTCTGTTCTTTGAATGCTAACTAAGTTGTTTAAGTCTTTGGTGTCAGGGGCTTAAGAGGACTTAATGTGACACCACTTAGAAGTAGCCAACAGATGCTAATTTCTGTGTTTTTCAGAGACAGACAATAGATTATGCCACTTTCTTCTCTCAGACAAAATTTTACTTTTCTCAGACTATTTTATCCTTTTTTTCAGCTAGAACAGCCAGTAGCTGATTCCTACTTTATGAGAATGTTTCCCTAGTTCTGGATGCTGTTTCTCTCCTTTCCAGCTAATAGGCTGCTGTTACAGTTGCTTGTTTTTGTCTTTCCTGGTGGTATGTATATTCAGGGTGTCTGTCGTTCTGCACTTCAAAGATGTCACCTGAGTTTCTTGTGGATGCTCTGAGTTCACAGGCCTTGTTCCCAGAGTGGCAGACATGTTCTTCTGCCAATGTTTTAGCAGATTTTCCATAAGCTTTTTTCCCTTTACATCCACATCGCCTTTATGGCTGCACTCACCACTAAAGAAGGAAAACTCAGGTTACAGGTTAGTTTGATTTTTTTTGTTTGTTTGTTTTTTTCCTACTAACTAACATCAACATCTCAATATCTGTTTATTTTTTTTTTAATTCTTAGTAAGCACTATTAAAAGCTTCATTACAATATTTTGTCCTTCTAGTGATTATTTGATTCTGTCTGTTAGATAGTGTAGAAAGAAATGTGGGCTTGCCTTTCTTTAGCTAACCTTTCTTCCTGAGCTTATGAATGGGAAGTTTTGCAGTGATGCTTTTCCTGACTGTATTCATCTCTGTATCAGTTCAGAGGTTTCTGTCCCCCTTGCAGGATAAGAGCAGTCCATCTCAGTCCTCAGGAAGACAAGTAGATGTTTCAGGAGCCTAGCTTAATTAAGTCAAATTAGCTACAGTGCAGAAAGGCACTACGAAGTATAGAGAATGTTAAAGCAGAGGAGGGTTATGGAGGAAGAATCAAGAAGTTTTGCAGAGGCACCTCGCGGCTATAATAGGAAAGACAAGATCTCAGCTTCAACTGAGACTTGCAAAAGGTGTCAGGGCAGCAGAAAGTCCTGCCTGCTGTAGGTAGTAGTCCAGATAGCGTATGTGACCTTGCAGTGACACCATCCAGCTCTCTCAGATGCAGGCTATCGTCTTTGAAAGGTGGAATTCAGGAGATGTCCCTAGTAACTGGAGAAGGCTACATTGTTTACCTGTCTTTTCCTCCTCCATTACTGCACTCCAGGAAGAAGGAAAAAAAAAAAATATCGGGAGAAAAAAAAAAAAAAAGCTGAACTAATCTTTCCAAACCAGAAAACCATCCATCTTTCCTTAAATCTCTGGAGAGATTATAGAGGGAGTCCTGGAACACATTTCTGATCATGTGAAGGGTAAAGTCATGCCTGACAGACTTCATTGCTGTTGATAATAAAATAGCTGGATTTCTGGGTGAGGGTAGAGAAGTGGATGTCATTTTCATTGACTGTAAGGGTTTCAACACTCAATATTTTTGTGTCCATTTTAGCATATTATGGCTTTGATGGATGGACAGGTAGATGACTGAAAAATTGTTTGAATAATTGGGTTCAGAGAAGAGAAGCTACTAGGTCATACTTTATCTGCAGGGCAGTAAGAAATGGAATACCAAAGGGATCTGTACTGGGACCTGTCCTGTTTATCATCTTTATTAATGACATGGAGGAGGCAGTTGATTCACTCTTGTTGAGTTCTCAGTTGATACCAAACTGGGAAGAAGAATTGATAATCTCAAAGGCAAAACTACCATCCAGAGCAGTCTGGACTGTTGGAAAGAATTGGCCAACAAGAAGCCTATGAAGCTCAGCAAGGACAAATGCAAAGTCCTGCACCTGGAAATAATTACTTACAGCAATACAGGTTGGAGGTTGATTTACTGGAGAGCAGGTTTGTTGGAAAGGATCCAGCGGTGTTAGTATACTGACAGCAAGTTGAATGAGAGCCACTGTGCCTTGGCAGAAAAGAGGATAGCCTGGGATATTTTAACAGGAGCACAGCATTTCTAGAGAAATGATTGTTTCCAGAATTTGTTACACCATATCTAGAATACAGCATCCAGTTTTGGGCCGCGCTGTTACAAGGAAGACATCAGTTAACTGGAGAAAGGTGCACTGGGATGATCAGGGAGCAGATGCCATGTGTGGGGAAGCTGAGGTAACAGGTTTTAGCAGGGGAGGAAGGAGTACATCAGCAGCCTTTTGATACCTGTAAAACATGGTTCAGGATGTAGAGCCAGGCTCTTCACAGTAGTCCCTAGTGGGAGGCTGAGAGAACAGGCATAGATTGAAAGCAAAGGATTCTAACTGGTTATGAAGTAAAACTTCTCCACTGTAAGGACAGAAGAATGTCTGTGCATTCTTTGCCCTTGTGTGTTTTCAAGATCTGACTGAGCAACATGGTCTGACATCAGAGGTAACCCTGCTCTGAGCTGAAGGTGGGAATAAATTATTTTCTGAAATCCCTTCACATCTGAACTATTTTATTCATCTGTGACCCTGAAAGACCCCAAACGTTACTGCAGTTCTTTCCTTGCTATCTTTTCTGAAACCAGCAACTGTTGTTATCACAGAATTGTAGGGGTTGGAAGGGAGCTCCAGAGATCATCGAGTCCAACCCCTGCCAAAGCAGGTTCCCTACAGCAGGTCGCACAGGTCGGCATCCAGGCAGGTCTTGAACATCTCCAGAGAAGGAGAATCCACAGCCTCCCTGGGCAGCCTGTTCCAGCGCTCCGTCACCTCACCTAAAGAAGTTCTTGTGCACATTGGTGCAGAACTTCCTATGCTGCAAGTTTCTGGCCATTTCCCTTCGTCCCGTCTCCAGAATGCTGAAAAGAGTCTGGCCTCGCCATTCTGCCCCCCACACCTTAGATACTGATAGACCTGGATCAGGTCCCCTCTCGGTCTTCTTTTCTCAAGGCTGAACAGACCCAGCTCACTCAGCCTTTCTCCATAGGGAGATGCTCCAGGCCCTTCGCCATCTTTGTGGCCCTCCGCTGGACTCTTTCCAAGAGATCCCTGTCTCCTTTCTGTACTGGGGAGCCCAGAACTGGACGCAGTGCTCCAGATGAGGCCTCACCAGGGCAGAGTAGAGGGGGAGGATCACCTCCCTCGACCTGCTGGCCGCGCTTTTTTTAATGCACCCCAGGATGCCGTTGGCCCTCTTGGCCACAAGGGCACACTGCTGGCTCACGGCCGACCTGTCGTCCACCAGGACACCCAGGTCCCTCTCCGCAGAGCTCCCCTCCAGCAGCTCATCCCCCAACTTGTACCAGTGCATGCAATTATTCCTCCCCAGATGTAAGACTGTTGAACCTCAGCTGGTTTCTTATTGCCCAGCTCTCCAGCCTGTCCAGATCTCGCTGAATGGCAGCACGGCCTTCAGGCGTGTCAGCCAATCCTCCCAACTTCGTATCATCAGCAAACTTGCTGAGGGTGGCCACCATCCCCTCATCAAGGTCACTGATGAAGATGTTGAACAAGAACGGCTCCCTGAGGAACACCACCAGTTACAGGTCTCCTACTGGACTCTGCACTGCCAACAACGACCCTCTGTGCTCTGCCTGTCAGCCAGTTCTCAACCCACCTTACTGTCCACTCATCCATCCCACACTTCCTCAGCTTTGCTGTAAGGATGTCGTGGGAAACAGTATCAAATGCCTTGCTGAAATCAAGGTAGACTACGTCCACTGCTCTCCCCCTATCCACCCAGCCAGTGACAACATCATAGAAGGCTACCAGGTTGGTCAAGCACGACCTCCCCCTTGTGAACCCGTGCTGACTGCTCCTGATCACCTCCTTTTCTTCCAGCTGTCTGGAGATGGCATCCAGCACCAGCTGTTCCATCACCTTTCCAGGGACAGAGGTGAGGCTGACTGGCCTATAATTGCCTGGATCTTCCTTGCCTTTTTTGAAGACCAGAGTGACATTGGCTATCCTCCAGTCTTCAGGCACCTCCCCCATTCTCCAAGACCTCTCAAAGATGACAGAGAGCAGTTCATCAATCACCTCTGCCAGCTCCCTCAGCACCCATGGATGCATCCCATCGGGTCCCATGGATTTGTGAACATTGGTGTTGCCTAGGTGCTCTTGGACCGCGTCTTCCCTGACTAAAAGGAAGTCTGCCATTCCCCAGACTCTCTCACTAACCTCCAGGGTCTGAGATTCCCAAGGGGGAGCTTTTTCACTGAAGACAAAAGCAAAGAAGGTATTCAGTATCTCCGCCTTCTCAGCATCCCCCGTTACCAGAGCACCCCCCTCACTTAGCAGGGGAGCCACATTCTCCCTAGTCTTCCTTTTACTATTAACATACTTAAAAAGCCTTTTTTATTATCCTTTATCACCTTTGCCAGATTCAATTCCAGGCAGGCTTTAGCCTTCCTCGTTGCATCCCTGCAGGGCCTGACAACATTTCTATATTCTTCCCAAGTGGTCAGACCCATTTATCTTGGTTATCTTGGTTTCCTTGATGTGGGTTACCAAGCTGTTAATGTAGAATAGAACTGCAATGTATTTCTTCTTCCTAAAGATATGAAATGCATCCATTCAGTGTCAGTTATTTCTGTATCTTCCAGTTTTCTTCCCACATGAATAGATGTTTCCATTTCATTTGTTGGCTGGCTTCTTATTTTAATTTAGAAGTGTTTTACTTGATTGGAGTGTTACAAGGAATAAGAACTGAAGGCATGATCACCGTGGGAACACACAGCAATTTAAAATATGCTGAGAACTCAATTTAACACATCCATGGTTTTTTTTTGTTTGTTTTCTAAGAAAAAATTTATGAGATATAGGAAGTGGGAGAAGCAACAGTACAAAGTAGTGTGAAAGAAATTTGGGGGAAAAAAACCAGAAATGTACATGATTGAGAATTGCTAATAAGGTAAGATAAGATTTCTTTCCAAGTTTGGCTGTTCAGATATTTTTACTTGTAAGATACTGCTGGTGGCCATTTTGTCTGACCTGCTGCTCAGAGTGTGCTAGTGTCAAAATTAAATCAAGTTTCTCTGGACTTTGTTAGTGAAGTTCTGAATGCCCTTAAGGATGTGCTTTCCACAGCCTCTTTGGGGAACCTGTTCTAGTGCTTAACTGCTCTCATGGTGAAGAATATTTTTTTCTTCCTTTGCATCCCTTCAAAGTTTAACTTATTGCGAAATTATTACTTTTGCAGCTCATCCTTCCACTGTGCAACTCTTGAGAACAGTCTGGCTCTGTCTTTTCTATAATCCAGCTTCAGGTAGTTGAAGACAGGAGTTCAGATATATACAGCTTATCCCCTCCTGATCAGCAAACAGCTTGTCTTTTTATGTCATAAACTCCAGCATCTTTGTGCCTTTTTGCTTAACTCTCTGAAGTTCATCAGTGTGTTTGTTGCACAGAGGTGGCAGAAGACTGGATGTGGTGTTACATTGGTCCAGATATGGCTTCATCAGTGCCTTTACGAAAGGGAGTGGTTGTCTATGACCTACTGATGATGCTGTTGCTAATGAGGAATAGTATGGTGTATCTTTCAGTGCTGCATTGGTGCACTGCTAAGCCATGTTCAGCTTGCCATCAACCAGGACCTCAACACCTTCTTTGCAAAGCTCTTTAGCTAGTGAGCACCCAGCCTGCATAGGATTTTTCTGTTCCAGCTATAAGATTCTGTATTTGCTTTGGAACCTTCTGAGTTTCCTTTCAGCTCATTGCTTCATTGATTGAGCTCATTACTCATTGAAACCAATCTGTGTAGCAGCTCCACTCTCCGGTATGTCAACGACAGCTCTCAGTTTAGGACCATCTTTGTACTGTCTGAGGATTATTTCTGTAAAGCGATTAAGCAGTATTGGTGTAACTGCTGTTGTACACCTCTTCTAAGTGGCCAGCACCTAGATAATTTAACTGCTGGCTACTAATTTTTGAGGCCGACCATCCAGGCAGTTTGTCATCCACCTCACAGTCCTTGCATCTCATCCACATTTCACTAATTTCCTGTAAAATACTGGAAAAGACCATGCAAAACCCTTTTTAATGTCAGGGTAAGTAACACATTGTGTTTTCACTTCTTTACTGAATTAGTCTTTCTGGTATGGAAGCAGTCAGGCTTAATTTGCTGTCGGTGTGTGCCTATGCTGAGCGTTGTGATTGTTGCTGGTCACCTTTCTTGTACTTCAGGTGGCTTCCTGATGTGGCTCCCAGGAGGATTTACTCCACAATCTTTGTGTGGTGAGCAGCCTGTATTTCCACAGATTATCTTTGTAGCCTTTCTTATGGATATGAAGTTTACCTTTTCTTTTCTCCAGTCGTTAGGAACCTTGTCCAACTGCCATGATTGTTCAAAAGTGATAGTAAGCTGCCTTGCAATGATAGTAGCCAGCTTTTCACGTCCCATAAACTTCTGGATGATCTGTTTGATTAGATGATGCTTGATCTTGCTCCACTGTTCATTCCCTTTGTTTATTTTGACAGTATCTTTACCTTTTGTTCACATTTATTCCATAACAGTTGCTTTTTCTTTTTTCCTTCTGGAAGGAGTTAGTTGCCTGAGGTCATGCAAGAAGATCAGTTAAGTGAACAGAGTTGTATGATATGTTAAGTAGAATTTCTTCATGTTTTTCACACTGCCTATTCTGTAGAAACTTCCGGATGTAAGAGTTTTAGGAGAAAATTCTAAAAGTAAAAATCCCTCCTTCATAAAAGTATCTGGGGGACTATAAATATATAAAAGAAAATCTTAAATGTGCATTCTTTACATGGTGACTGTTAGCAGAAGTTTTCAAAAGATGGGCAGTAGTGAAACTAAAAGAGGAAGACATCAATTGATATTCAGTGTGTGGTTACATTTTCTGTGTGTTTTGCTTCTTACAGATTTTGTCTTCTAAGAGTGATTCCCGTTTAAAACATTTACTGCAACGGGCACCTGAATATTGTCCAGAATCAATGGTAAGGCTTGCTAGATTTTAATTTAAAACAACAACAAAAACCACTAATCTTATGTTAACAAAGTTTTGCTTACAAAAGCAAAATTTCAAATTAGCTTGCAGAGTAATTTTCTTTCTGAGTTTTGAGCTGGTTTATGTTTTCAAGAGTTTTCTTTGTTTTGAAGGCTAGAAAGGTACTTAAATTGAGATTTGATCCTCAGGAGTAGGATTCCTTTTTAAAACTTGCCTGTTGTGTTACTTGGTGTTCATGTAACCTATGAAATGGAATGAAAAACTATCTGATATTATGAAAATTTGCACTGTGTGATTGTCGTTTAGAAATTAATAGCAGTGATTTACAAGCAAGAACGCATGATCCAGTTTGTATGGGGCAAAGCTGTCAGGTCTTGGTTATACAAAGGCATGGACATCCATATAGCTGCTCTGAATGGCCTGTAGGCATTTCTGACAACCTGAAAAAGTGCTTTTGTTGGATCATGGTTTCCTAAAAGTTCTGCAGTATTTTAAGTGTGTGTGTGTATGTGTGTGTGTTCCCTATCTCTATGGAGGAAATGATATTATGGATGAAGAGGTGAGTGTTAGCATTGTCATTGCCAAGAGAGAAGACTCTAGAACAACTTAAAATATCTCAATTTGTTTGTTTTTAAAAAGGTTTGATTTCTTTCTTGTAATTTTTGTTCTAAATGGTATCGATCCTGTTTTCATCCAGTAGGAGTGGTAAATCTGAGTCTATCATTTTGCAGGCTCCTTCCCATAATGTGTTTGCTTATAGATCCCTTCTTCCTGTGCCTCAAAAATATGTTTCTCAAGGTTTGGTTTCTGTGGATCCCCAGCTCTAAAACCTTGGGAAACTGTAGACATCTGATGGCATGAGTAAAATCATGGTAGGAAAACATATCAAAGTGGTACGTAGCATTTGCTTTGGTACTATTTCTCGTCATTATTTGTGCCCCGATGGGAGGAATGTGATTTATCTGTAGGCAGTAGATTTTTAGAAGACAGTACCACAGAGATTAGGAAAGGGGAAAGTGACTGATGCAGTGTTTTTTTTTTTAAACTCCCAATTGCCGTCTTTATAACTGGTAGCTTTGCTATCCAGTGTGTGCTTAAATTAATGTTGCCACACTAGTAATATTTTAAAAGACTTCTATTTATAAAGCAGTTGACAGTTCATCTTAGTGCCGTTTTTGCTGTGTTCAGATACCGCTCTGCTTTGTTGGGCAGGTGTTCTAGTGACACTCCACAGAAGAGTAAATAGGTTGTAAAGGTAATCAGTTGGTCCATTTTCTGGCATACTGATTACAGCCATTGTTATCTCTACTCTATCATGTGATATAAGAACTTTGCCTGATATTAAGTGATACATTAATTACCAAAATGAGATGCTACTATTCTTTCATGAAATAAGGGAGATCAGTTGAACCAAAGGAGCAGAACTAGGAAGCAGCAGCTCTAATGTTTTTCTTTTGAGCTGACTTTCCTCTTCTCTGATGTGGGAAACTCCACAGACAGAGGAGATGTTTTTTGAACATTAGATACAGATTGACTGTAACTTTGGACAGTATTCCTGTGATGACAAAGTCATGACGTGACAGTACAGGTTGCTTGTGTGATTGAATTGAACTTTTCTCCTCAGGAATATTTAACATTATGTCATTTAAAGCCCCTTTAAGACTTTTAATTTGCCTTCAAATGCTGCAGAATTTTCCTCTGATTTCACCTATTAGGCTTTTCCCAGTGCTTGTTCAAAAAAGTTTGAATTCAGTTAGATTGCACTAAAATACATGCCCAGAACTGAACATAGTATTTGAGGTGCAGCCTCAGCAGTGCTGAATACTTGAGTTCTTACCTTAGATTGAATCCTTCCTCTACTGCCTAAACCTTGTTATCCCAGGACATTTGTAAATTTTATTGAGTGTGTATCGTAACCTTTGAAGAGTGTATTTGTGTCATTTTTAATTAGAATGAAATAAAATGATATTGTCTAAGTAAGGTAAGATTTCAGTTGTTGGACATTAGCCATCATACATATAGTATATGGAAAATTCCATACCTTTTATCTCTTCAGCATTTTAATACAGCACACCCACTGTAATGTACTTCCTTCTGACAGTGGAAATTACTGTAGAATCATTAAAGTTGAAAAAGACCTCTAGGATCATCTAGTCCAACTGTCAGCCTGTCAACACCAGGCCCACTAAATGATGTCCCTCAGTGCCACATCTTGTCTTTTCTTGGTAACTTCCAGGGACAGTGACTCCACCACGTCCCTGGACAGCCTGTTCCAATGCTTGAGCACTCTTCCAGGGAAGTTTTCCTAATATCTGACCTGAACCTCCCCTAGCACAACGTAAGACCATTGCCTCTCATTCTATCACTGTTACCTGGGAGAAGAAGCCTACGCCCATCTTGCTACAACCTCCTTTCTGTAGAGAGTGATAAGGTTTCCCTTGAGCCTCCTCTTCTCCAGACTAAACAATCCCAGTTCCCTCAGCTGTTCCTTGTAAGACCTGTGCTCCAGGCACTTCACCATCTTCATTGCCCTTCTCTGGACACGCTCCAGGGCCTCCCTGTCTTTCTTGTAGTGAGAGGCCCAAAACTGAACACAGTACTTGAGGTGCAGCCTCACCAGTGCTGAGTACTTAAATTCTTACCTTAGGTTGAATCCTTTCTGTACTGACTACCTGTGGTAAGATGGCATCTTACCTGAGAGTTCTCTTATACAAGCCCTACAGTAAAAAATTCCCCATGATCATTTCAGCCAGTAGTCTTCCTAACACCAGTAACGAGGGAGACGAGGACAAAGAAATCTGTATCTTTTTTTTTTCCCTTGAGTTGTGGGGAAACCCAACAGATCTGTATTTTAACCTTTCCTGTTAGTAAGCTTCACTTTTACAACTCTCTTCCATACATCTGTCTTTCCATGAAGCTGCCTGTATCTGGGGTACCTAAAACACCTCTTTGATTATTTGTTGTTGGTTTTTTTTAGTATGGTTTGGTTTTGTTGTTGTTTAGAGGAAAAAAAAAAAAAGAAAAAAACGTAGTGGAAAGGAGCGCTAGGGTAACAAGCTTCTCAGCAGGTCTTGGTCCTAGATAAACTTTTCTCTTTTAAAACAGTGACTATTGTGTTCTCTAAATACTGGTGGGAAAAGCTGACTGTCTAGCATAGGTGAGATAATAACAGTATGTTCTCCTACAAATATGCTGCTGTTGATTAGATTCTCTGGAGATGACAACCTTCTTTTCAAAGCAAGTGAGTGGTGCACAGCTCATGTAACTTCTCCTTAGAAGGCAGTGTGGACAAATGTTCCACTGGAATAACTCTTTCAGAATACAAAGCAAAATGACTGAAAATACTGTTTTGTGTATGTTAAAAACACTTTTATTCTGTAGATTGTTTATTGCTTTTTTACATTTTAATTTTCAGGGAGAAGTTTGGGGTTGTATAAATTCTTCTTTGCCAGGTAAGAAATACTAGTTTATTATTCTGTTGTGATGCTTTTCCCTAAATGTGCATTTCAGTGTTCTGACTGCTACTTGCATCTGTAGGTTTCATGATGGTTTAAGTTTCATTAGGCTTCTGTTACAAACTATGCTTTGATTCTAGTTTCTTTTAGTCTACACTGGGTTACCTGAGCATCTTCTTAAAACGCTTCTTTTCTTTTCCTAGTTAGAAAATATTGAATAAGTTTTTGTGATTTTCTGTGACCCATCCAGGAAATATCAGAGAATTCCTTTCCTTTAAAGGCTTTCAATTATTTTTAGTTTGAATATACCTTCAGTTTTAGATCTATACAGATTTCTGCCACTGTTTCAGAGGCAAACCTAAGCCACATGCAGAGAGATTTGCTGCTTTACTATAAGTGAAAGTGGTGAAATATGTAGTTTCTTAAGGAGCTGTAGTAGTTTTCTCTCACCTAAAAACTTTTAACTTTTTGGTTGCTACTGGTGTGACCTCACCTTGAGTACTGTCAGTAATCTGGGGGACACAAGATAAGGAGAACACAGAACTATTAGAGAGCATGCAGAGGACCATTATGAAGATGATGAAGCATCTAGATGGCAGGGCATTTGAGGAGCAGCTGAAGTCACTCAGTTTGTTCAGTCCAGAGAAAAAGAGACAGGGGGAGACCTCGTGACTACCTGTGTCTCAGTCACAAGGGAAGAAGAGGGGCAGGCACCGATCTCTTCTCTGGTGACAGTGACAGAGCCCAAGGGAATGGCATGGAAGATGCATGAGGGGAGGGTCAGAGTGGGTCAAGGAAAAGTTCTTCACCGAGGGGTGGCTGAGCACATTGGAACAAGATCCCCAGGGCAGTGATCACAGTCCTAAGCCTGCCAGAGTTAAAGAAGGATGTAGAAAATGTTCTCAGAAATACAGTTTGAATTATGGGTTGTCTTGTGTGGAGCAATGAGTTGGACACAATCCTTGTGGATCCTTTCCAATGCAGGATATTCTGTGAGTCTGTGGTATTATAATGCCTAAACATCATTGTAGCTTAAGAGCTACACACAAATGAGTAGTAATGGTTTTATTCTATGTAAGCAGTGTACATTTTAGTTTGAAATTTAGGTTTGTGTAAGCAAGAAAAAAAAAACGTTTTGTTGTGGTTTTTTTTTATGAACCACTTGCTAATTGTCTTTCTGGTCTGTCTGGACTGATGTGAGGCCTCTTCAGCTTCTATATGGTAGGATTTATGGGGAGAAGCTCCTTAGTAGTGATGTACCCTGTTCTCTTTTTTTATAACATCTTCGTAGACTAACTGGTAAAGCATGGATTAGATAAGTGGAGTGAAGATGGATAGAAAACTGGCTCAAAGGTTTATTATCAGTGGTACAAAGTCTATCTGGAGGCCAGTAACGGAGGGGTCAGTACTAGTTCTAGTCCTGTTAAACATTTTCATTAATGATGATACAGCATGCACTCTCAGCATGTTTACAGATGATAGAAAATGGGAAGGAGTGTTGATAGATCAGATAGTTGATCTCTACATTGATGATGTCCTCATGTTGGGCAGCTTTTTTGAGAATGGGAAGAAAATAGTTCAAATCCTTCTAAAAGCTAGTTTTGCATAAAGCAAAGTAAGATCAAGGGACCTTCACAGGAGATCGATTTAGTTCCTAGGAATAACATGGCAAGATGGATGTTGTCAAATTACAGTGGATGTGATCAATAAAATAACTGCTATGTCTCCACCAGCTTACAAAAAGAAAACAGAATCTTTCTGAGGTGTTGTGGGCTTCTGGAGAATGCATATGCTGGATTACAGTCTGATTATAAACCCTGACCATCAAGTGACACAGAAGAAAACCGCTTTAACAGAGGGTCCTGAGGAACACCAAGCCTTTGAACAAATTAAACTTGAGATACCTCATGCAGTAGTCCTTGGGCTACACAGCACAAGGTATAAAAAAGGTGCTGTACATTGCAGACAGGGAGAATGGTCACACTTGGAGCCTCTGGCAGACTCAGGGTTTACTCCTAGGGTTTTGGAGTCAAGGATAAAGAGGATCTGAGGCCTGTTATACTGCAACTGAAAAAGAGATGTTGGCAGCATATGAAGTTGTCCAAACAGCTTTGGGAATGGTCAGCACTGAAGCACAACTCCTTTTGGCACCCCCACTGCCTGTGCTGGGCTGGACATTCCCCTCCACACATTATGCAGCTGATGCTACATGGAGTAGATGAATCACACAGAGGGCTTGGATTGAGAATCCCAGTCATCCCAGCATTTTAGAATTGATTATAGACTGGCTCAAAGGCAAAGAATTTGGAGTATTGTCAGAAAAGGAGGTGACGTGCTGAAGAGGCTCCACTACACAGTAAACTGCCAGAAAATGAGAAGAAATACGCCCTGTTCAGTGATGGGTTCTGTTGCATTGTGGAAAAGCTTTGGAAGTGGAAGGCTGTTGTATAGTGTCCTACATGACCAGTTGCAGAAGCTTCTGAAGGAAAAAATGAATTGAACCAATTTACAAAAGTGGATGCCATCCAGCTGGCTTTAGGCATTGCTGAAGGAGATAAGTGGCCAGTGCTCTACCTCTGCATGGACTCCTGAGAGGTGGCAAATTCCCTATAGCAATGAAAGCAGAACAACTGTCAGCACAGAGGCAAATGCATATGGGCTGCTGCCCTGAGGAAAGATGCTGCTGCCCTGGTAGAGAACATAGTTGTATAGGTAGGTCACGTAGGCAACCACGTACCAAAGAGCCATGCAACTGAAGAATATCAAAACAACCAGTAGGTGGATTGAGCTGCTGGGATTGAAGTGGGCGAGGTAGATATGGACTGGCAACATAAGGGTGAGGTATTTTTGTCAGTGGGCCTATGATACTGCAGGTTATCAGGGAAGAGATGCAATGTATAGATGGGCTTGAGATCGAAGGATGCTATTGCACAGATTATCCATGAATGTGAAACGTGCTGTAGTTAACCGAACTAAATGGATAAAACCTCTTTCTGTGGGGGACAGTGGTTGAGATACAGATATGGAGAAGCTTGGGATGTGGATTATATCACACTCCCACAAACTCACCATGGGAAATGCTGGATGCTTACAATTGGTGGAAGCAGCTGTCACATGGCTGGAAACATATCTCATAAACATATAGGTTTATTCTTGCCTTGGGCAAAGGCAATCCTATTTATATCCTAATCATGGGACTGCTTTTGCTCAAGGACCTGGGTGCTCTTAGCGGGTAACGCAGAAGGATAGGGATGTCTGTTGTGTACCTCAAGGTGATTTGATTTTGGGAGAGAACAGCCAATAATGTAAATTGTATGATGCTAAATGGCTGTGTATTACTGTATGTCATCATCATTATGGTTATTATATGCCCGGGTAAGAGTAGCACAGTGAGAGCTATCCCGATTAAAAAAGAATGACCTCAAATGGAACCAGAACTAACTTCTGCATGCAGTAACCCAAAACTATGAATCAGCCCTCCTGCACTGAAGGACAGTTTTGACAGATGGAACTTGAAGTTATGAATGGAGTGAGTACCGAGAACCATTGCACATGAATGGCCCATAGACTGCAATAATATGTGAGTGCATACATATCAAAAAGGAAGATAGGTCATGGTAATTAGTTAGGATGTGTACAAACTGTGGTCATGGTGTAAGTGGTATGGTATAAGGAGTGGACATTGTCTTAGTTTCAGCTGGGATGCATTTTTTCTTCAGAGTTTCTGTTATAATGCTTACGTTTTAGTTCTAGGAGAAAAACAGTGTCAGTAACACACTGATGTTTATAGTTTGTGCAAAGCAGGAGCTGGGGGGGAAGAGAACTAGGATAGCTGTCTGAAGCTAGCCAGAGGGATATTCCATACCATATGACATCATACAAAAGGAATTTTGAAGAGGGTGGGATTTCATTTTCCTTTCTTCCACTGCCTAGGGGGCTAACTGGGCTTCGGTCAGGGGATGGTGAGCAATTCTTGTGTCTCACTTCTTATATGCATTCAGATGTATATGAATACTATATGCATAGTAATAACTATTATCCTTTTCCTTTTCTCTATCTTAGTAAACAGTTTTATCTCAACCCAGGAGTTCTGTGGGGTTTTTTTTGTTTGTTTGTTTGTTTTTTTGATTCTTTCCCCCATCCCACTAGGAAGGAGAGAAGGGAGCAACTGTGTGGTGCTCAGCCACCTGCCGGATTAAACCACAACCATGTTCTATTCACTTTCTTTTATGGCTCATCCTCAAAAAACAAAACTATGTTGTATGTTATTGTCCTTGCCAATGCAGTATTATTAGCTTCAAAACAGTTTAGAATGTTAGAATCAAAACAGTTTCAAAATGTTTAGAAGCAGAAGTTTAAGAAAAGAAGTTTAAGAAAAATATGTTTTCTGAAGGTGAATACTAATTAGTGTTTTAATAGAGGATTTTTTAAAAACTGTGAGTCTGTTGATGTTTGTTTATGAAAAATAATAGGCCTACAGTATGTGAATTACTTGGCATTTCAATAGGAAATTTCTTTCTTATTCTGCATGCATTAAACTATTGAAGGAACTATTTGCAAGTGGGAGGGCAATGGGGGTGGGTCAGCAACCTATAATTCTAGATGGTAACTATGCTCTGATTTTAAACTTTCTCATTTTCTGTAAGCAGACTGTAGAAGACTTCTCCAGAGACAGCAAAATGCTGACTTGATCTTTGTTATTCCGCATGAAAGCTATGATGAGCCTCGTTGTTTTTTGGTTTCTCCTTTTTTCATCTTCCTTTTTATTCTTCCCTTTTGTTTCCTGTGAACCACTGTGATCAAGTTTCTTTTAAATTTTCAATGTGTACACGGTTGCTTTCATCATAAAATACATACATCAAAAATCATATTCTAAGTCTTCACATTTGAGCAATATTCTATCTTTGATTCTGACTTGAATGCTCTTGTGGATGCTATAATAGAACATTTTTAATAAGGAAGAAAAATGTTTGTCTTTTTATTCATCTCAGTAACGTAGTGTGGCTCCTGGAAACTTCTTTGAAAGGAGATCTTTGACAAGAGCATGCTTTGTACAGCATGTAGTTGTATGGATTTTGATACACTGGCTAAATGCAGTCCTGGGAATAGTGAAAAATATGCAGCCTTGCTTTCCATTTTCATAAAAGAATTTGAGAATGGAGTTTCAAGATTGCAAAAAAAGAAAAAATTATCAGTTTGCTTGCAACTCCATTTTTAGTCAACATAAATACATGACCTGTGAGTTTTCAAATGGAATGTACAGAGTTGCAGTCGGATATTCAGCTGAAAAATTTGATCATGTCTTTTTACTAGACTTTACTAAGAATTCTCTTAGCAGAGAAAAGTATCCCTTGCTTCCCAATCATGCCTTATTCGCGTAATCGCTTTTTGGCAGTATACACATTTATGAACAACTGTTGTCAAGGATGAAGTGCAAAAAGAATAAAATTTCTTCAAAAAACTCAGATGAGCACCTTGAGAATGCCTGAAGAACTGCAGGCCCTTCCATCAAACTGGCCTGGTGCTTTGGTTTCGCAAAAACAGGGTCAGCTATCTTACTTGTTCCATGGTTTTGCTGCTTTTTAAAAATGTTTTAATAAAGATATTAGTAACTAAAATGTTACTTATATTTATATGAGGGCAGCTCTAAAAGTAATGCCTCCTGTTTTATTATTTTGGCCCATGGTGTTTCTCAGAGGCGTACGTCCATGGTATTTCACTGGAGGTTGAACCTTCCTGCCAGTGTTCAATCACGTGCTGTTGCCGTGCGACAGATAGCAGCGAGAGTCAGTCTGCAAAGTGACATCTGACTTGAAAGTGTGTATGATGCACAGGCGTGGAACAGAATTCCTCCGTGCAGAAAAAAAATGGCATCCGTTGACTTCATCAGTGTTTAGTGAACATTTTTGGAGATCAGAGAGTGGATGTGAGCACAGTGAGGCGGTTGTGGTGCATTTCAGCAGTGGCATCAGTAACAGTGGGTCAGCTCCATTGGTGCAGACTTTTATGGGCATGGCATACAGCCTCTTGGAAAACATGCACAGCTGATGGTGGCGACTGTGTTGAAAAACAGTGTTTTGCAGTTGAGGATATGCTCTATCAAACAGAATTATTGTGCTTGTTTTAGCTGTTGTAGTCTCCATGAAAATAAATAGGAGAAATTACTTTTGGAGTGACCTACATATACACAGCCCAAGGCAATTGCATTTCACTGAACGTAGCCAGAATGTTGGACACCCTTAAGAAACATGATCTTAAGTCAATTAATTGTGCACTGAAGGTGCATTTTTTGTTAAGAAATGCTTGTACTTCAATTATCTTGATTACGAAATTAATGTTTAAATGCTAAAGTTGCTATTTTAAAATTGCAATGCAGTATGTTATGGACATGTACCATAGCTTCTTTTTCACAAGCTTGTTTGATAGGCTGAAATATCATGAGTAGAGGGCCACTTCCCAAGAAAATGTAACCATGGCTGAAGCTTACCAGCATTCCTAATTTGGCATGCAAGTTTGCTTCATTCTTCTAGCAGAGTTCATTGAAACGTGTTTCTAAAACACACAGGCTCTGTCTTGCACAAGATAGGAATGCTTGTGGGGTCTTTTATTTCTGTCTTTTGGTTTGTTTTGTTTCTCAGCTGTGATTATTCACTGGTTGATTTATTCAGTGGTGACATTGCCACTAAAGCTGTACAGATTAATTTATCATACTTCTCCAGCATGGGGGTGGTTACTGCAAGTTTTTTTCTGGAAAACTTGTTTTTATACCGCACATGATATTTAATTTTTTTTAGATTTTATTTATTTATCTATTTATTTTACCTTAAAAGAACCTTGGAGTATAAATCCTCCTGAATTATTGTTCTGATCAAAAGGAATCTGTGTATGATAGCTCCACATAAAAAAGAGCTGAAACAACTAGCTGCTATGTTATCATAGAGTCATTAAGGTTGGAAAAGACCACTAAGATCATCTAGTCCAGTCTAGTTATTTATATGCCTGAAGTGGAATGTAGAGAGTAATTAACAGATGTGTTGTTAAATGTATTTGCATTACTTAAGTGTAGACACGCAGTTGCTTTTGGGATTAGTTTAAAACAATGCATCAACTCAGAATTTCTGAATGCTGTTTCCAAACTGTTGATGTGTACCACAACAGTAATCTCCTCAACACATATCAGAATGATTCTCAGTCTCTGAAAAGTCAAATCTTCACCCCATTTGTGGGAGAGTAGGGTGACCTGATTCTGCTGTTATTTGTGGCCTTTGCTTCTGCTTTCAGCTCAGCTGAATTGGACAGTTGAGCTAAAACACTGAGCAGAGGTAAAGAGAAATCAGTCTTCAAAATGATGATCAAGGCACTGGTCTGCTGTGCATCGACACGGGCTGGCACAGACAGATGTAGTGCCTCTTCAAGCTGACTGCAGTCAGGCTATTCTTCACCTTTGCCTCCTGTTCCTTTCCACTCAGATACACAGTTCTGCTACCATGCTTATGCCAAGTGTTGATGTTGTAATTTGCATGAAAAAAAAAATTCTGGAAAATGTTCGTTTAGCTGAAGATTTTGATTTTACTTTATAAATTTACTTATTGCAGAATTCTCTTTACTGTGTAATCCCACGAAAAGTGTAGAAAATGAGAGTAGCAAATTAAATAGAAAAAGATAGAAGACGGAAAATGTTGAAGGCATTTGTGAATATTAAAGTACGTTATTAAGGTAGAGAAACTGCAGACAAAGCTTGAAGAAAAAGTAAGAATGCTATTCTGTGTTAAGAAGTGGAGAATTATAGAAGAGTGTAGTGCTGTTGAAGCCAGTAAGAGGATGTATCAGAACATGCAGTTTTGCTTCTTTTCTAACATTTTTTTTCTTTTGGTTTCTGTTGGCTTATACTTCACATTACATAAGAACATGCTGCTATTTCCAGTAAATACATAAAATGGTTTGGATAAAAGACCTGTAAAGTCAGTGTGTAGAACTTACCTATTTGACAAATTCTAAATTTATTAAGTACATGGATTTGCTTTTCTTTTCTTGCTTAAAGTTAGTTTGGAATCACTTAATAAATTCTAACTAAAATATAATCTATAGGCAGACTTCTTGAGCAAAAACAGGACTGTCATACTTGGAAAGTAACCTACTTACGGTGAGGAAAGGAAAAATAGCACAGGTTCTCTCGCTACTGTAATTTGTACTGTAATTTTATTTTTAAAGGAGTTCTGAAGAAGTCTGATGGTTGGGTTGGTTTAGGTTGCTGTGAGCTAGCTATTGCTGTGGAATGTCGGCAAGCATGTAAACAGGTAAGACTTTCTTGCTATTTTTTGGTCCATTATTAATGTCAAATGACTCAGCATTGAATTCACTCGTGTTACTGTTTGTGATTTACAGGCTTAATGAATTTTTAATATGAAACTTAAACTATCGCACAGATTTCTTACAAATTAGAATATATGCTAGGGTAATAAAATGTCACCAACCAAATTTCAAGAATTAAAACAGGGAATTTACATTCCTAGAGTTTTCAACAAAAAAAAGTAACATTTAAATTCTGATGAGATGAAAACCTAGTTAAAATGCAGTTTCTTTCTTTCTTTTTGTTGTGGGTGGTGGTGGTTTTGTGGAGTTTTTGTGTGTGTGTGTTTTCAGCCACTCTGGAAGACTGAGCTTCTGGGTGCTTGCCAAGACTTCATGACCCTGAAGTTTGAAGACCTTTCTTGTTAGCATTTCCACAGAGAGAATTTGCTGTTCTCATGAGTATTGTGTTGCATGTACATGTGTAAGAAAGTATGCAGCTACACTCCAGGAGAGGTTTCTAGTTTACAAGACCTGTTATTTGTTGTCTGACATACTCGGTATTCATGGCCATCTCTTAGCACTGGAAAGGTGGTGGAAAGCAATCATTTGATTTTGATTCAATTCATTGTAATCAGATGGATCAGAAAGTGTTTAGATCCATGACGTAAACCATGTTTTTTCTCATACTGAGACCTAATATTTATAAATTTGAAGGCTTTGTTATTTTTTACATATAATCTAGAAATTATTAGAGGAAGGAAATAGGTAACAATTAACATCTTTCCCTTTGTTGGTGTAGGTGGTAACAAATTAATGTTTAATGCCTACCAGTACGTTTTGACCTGAGCACGATCATTAAGATTGCCAACACTTAGGAAAAGTACAATTAATTATTAATCGTAACAGTTTTGTGCCAGAATTGCATTGGGATTCAGTAAGAAGCTGAATTTCGGTGTATGTCAAGTGTCTTGATCTTCTGCATTAAAATGTTTACTGCTATGACATGCTAGCCTGCAGCTGTTAGGTAGTTACTTGGGTTTTTTTTGGCATTTTTACTTTTTTTAGTGTCAAATCAAGACAGGGAGGCAGTTCTAGACAATAGTTCTTGCAGTGACAAATTGCTAAGTGGTGGTTTCACCAAATTGTTTTAAGGAGTTATCACTTCTCATGGCTTTTTACTCAGTTACCTGAGTTAAAAGAATAAAATTCAGTCATGTAATTAAGTACTGGTATCACTATTAAAAAAAAAAAAAAAAAGAAGGAGAAGAATCATCAAACAAATATATTTTATTTAGTTCTGTAAGGGTCAGGAAGTCATAGAGCCAAGAGTGGAACCGACCCCAGGTATTGCGCTGGTAGCATACAGCTCCCCATGGATAATGGTTTCCAAACAAAACTGTCTCAGCCCTGCTCTATGAGATCTCAGTCACGACGTGCAGGTAGGCAGTGCCCTTAAGTAATGTCATGTAGTACCCAGTTCACTGTCATGGAAACCCACCCGGGCAGGGAATTGGAGGGCCTCCCTGAAAATACTCCAGTACGTGCTGGAGAACTCACCTTTCTTCTGGTCCCCAGAGAGTCTGGAGAGCTTGTCCTATTTAGATTGCTCCTGCTGGCAACACTGTTTCTGGTGCAAGCCACGTTTTCTTTGATTCTGCCCCTGTTTTGGATTCCATTGTCATTTGTGCAGCATGAAAGAGCAGTAGTGGATAGCAGTCTGTTCTGTTCACAAACTGTGGCACTCTCTTGGCAGTGTCCGAGATCTTGGCTCCCAGGAAGCAGCAGATGACTCCAGGCACCCTGTCAGGCAGCAGAGGGAAGCCTCAGTGCCTTTTAACAAGGAGTTATCCACTGCAAGCATGAGGTGTTTCTTTGTTAATACTGCAATGATTTTTCCTCACCTCTTCTTTGACACAGCATATGAGATGGGCCTCTGGCAACATGAGGCAGAGAGCAGGGGAAGCAGAGAGGAAGATCTTGCCGTCACCCTAGTGAAAAAACCTTATTTGATCTGTCTTAAACTGCACCTGCAGCACTGCAAACTTGCGTCCCAAAATTCTCCAACATCAAAACAGAAAACATGTCTGAGAGTGGTGCTGTGCCTTTTTGTCTGTGTTTTAAAGCCGTATGTAATGAAGATATAATTGTTAGTAACTATAAGATTCAGCAGCCACCTTACCACTACAGAGGCTCCAGTGTGAGTGCTGGGTGGTTGCATCATGTAACTTTGAAAATTGAGATAACAAGTTTAGTTTTTCGTTGCAAACTGGAGGTATGTGATTGCTTCTGATGTGCTCTATTTTGTTGTTTCATAGCAGTATTTACTACATCTGCAGAGATTCCAGAGCTCTCTTTCATTACGATAAACATAATTTCTTGATTATTTCTTTTCTATTTTTTGCAATCTCTGAATGAAATTTTTTACTCTGCAGTAGGGCAGACTGGAAGGCAGCATGTGAGGTGGCCATTGTATGTGAAGTTTCATGGCACAGTGAGGAAAAGAGAAACAGTAGACAAATGTAACTGTAGTTCAAAAAGTGTTTTTGTTCTTCTGAAAAGAATATGTGTCTGTACCCAAATGCATATCTTAGCACAGTTTTCAGATTTATCCTAATGTTTCTTTTCCAGATCTTTCATTTATGGTTGTGTTCTGTGAAACTTAATTTAATCTTATGATTGCTGTGTCATTTCTCTTTGTTCTCATTATCAAATGCTGTGTTGCTTGATTGAAGACTGCTGTCTATGTATCTTGGCTGTGTCTCGTACTGACTCTGGTTGAAATGATTCACATGATTTTCATTTAAACTAAAACAGACATGACTTGGGATTTTAAGGATATTCACCATTAAGGATAACGGTGAATAACTGGATGTCAATATTGATTCTTAAAACTTGAGGGGGTTTTGCAGGCATTTTGAAGGTGATACTGTAGGTCATATCTTACCTTGGTTATTTTAAATTGCTGGAGGGAGAAATATCTAATGTAAGTAACGACCATAATATTTAATATCTGACATGAAAAAGGAGCAAGAGTTAATCTACAAAAAAAAAAAAAAAAAAAAAAAACAACTTATCTACACTGCAAAAGGGGGTTTTCTGCAAATTGCTTTCACAATAGTAATTGTAGAATTTCATATTCTAGAGGGAGAAGAAAGGAATAAAACAGATTAACAACATTGAACATACAAAATGAAGAAAAGTGATGAACAGGCTCTTCCATTTCCTTGGTTTTTCCAGTATTCTGCTCTGTCTGGAAAACCTCTGATGAAAACTAAGTTGCTTTGTCTGTGCTTCCAGTATCGACTAACTTGATGCAGAAATAAGTGTTTTGGGGTTTCAATCAAATGTAATGGAGACAAAGTTGTAGCTTCTACTTTTTTTTTCCTTAAAGCTTTAAGTGGATTCTTCAGGTTCCTAAAATGGAATGTTAAAGTAGATCTTGTATCCATGGTTATCTTAGGTAACAAAGTTAGAATCGTTTTTATTTTGCAACATGTTTTTATTGTTTTCTACTTCAAATTGGGGCATTTTCTGTTTTCAGGCTTCTTCAAAGAATGATATTTTAAAAGTCTGTAGAAAGGAATATGAGGTACGTATGTATTTATATGCACATATATCTTATTAAGTCATTTGTTATATAAATAATGAGGGAAAGTCCAATCATCTTATAGTAGTATGTCTGGATACTTCCATCCAACTGCAAATTAGCTGTCTGCAATTACTGTAAAAGTACAATTGCTTTCTGTAAGAAAGGGGCTTCCCTTGCATATATCTTAATTTGAATGAAAAAGATACAGCTTTCAAAATGGAGATTCGGATTGTAAAACTGTTTCATAAGAGTTCTGATAAAAGTAGGCATTTATTGTGAGCATTCATTGTCAGCAACGTATTGACTTCTAGAATGGCATATGTAGCTTAACAGCAACTAAAAAACTAAGGAAATAAATACAGGAAAGAGTAAGCCTTTATGTAGCCTATCCTCATTCAAAATGAATAATTTTTGCTAACATCAGTGAAAGTGTGCATGCCAGCACTTAGTTATTCTGTTCTACTTTTAAAATTAATCATTAGAATGTTTTCAGAAATGTGTAAATGAAGATTTGTGTTCTTTTTGTAGGATTCTGTAGAAATGTTAGTTTGCTAGGACTTCTTCCCTTTCAATGTTTCTTCATTTAAAAAACAGAATTCTCCTTCTCCCACCCTTTCATCCCCTTTCATCCCCTTTCATCCTGCCTGCTGTCCTGAATTAGACAGTCCTGTGTAAGTTCTGCCCGTATTGAATGGTGTCACACAATTCTTTTTGATTTGGGAAGAAATATAGCAGGTTTCTCATTTTCCAGAAAACATTAAATTCCTTGTTTGTTTGATTTTCCTTTGGTCTTTCTATATAATCAATCTACAGAGTACTTTCCTAGACTCCTCTCCATTGAAGTTACTATAGTTTATTGTCTTTAAGATTATTTTTCATTTTAAGTAGTTCTGTCTTTTCTGATGCTATAATATGCTATACTGTCAACATCTGTAAGCTTCTCCTCTATTATGCTGGTCTGTTTCCTTCTTTTTTTCTGCATTTCTGCATTGCTGTAGGAGGTTGGCCAATATGTGTTGAAGGAGAACGGGAGAGGAAAGGTAAGAGAATAAAGAACACCTACAAAATAGTGATAGTCATCTTACTTACATTTTTTTAGTCTCTTTCTCCAGTTTTTGTCTGGAATTTTAGAAAGTGGGATGTTGCTGTTATTGCACAGAAAACCTTAACTCTTTTGATCTGTGCAGTACTTTAAAAGACTAGGAGAGACAGCAAAATAACAGAAGGAGAAATCAAGTCTTCTGGTTGATGAAGAAGAAAAGAACTTTTTTAATGAGCACTGGGATTGGTAGGCACAGATATTATGTTAGGGATACAAATAAAATTATCTGATATGGTAGATGCTCACTTATTACATTTTTTGGTATGAAAATAGATTTTCCTGTGTATCTTAGACATTATGGATAGTCATGAAAAGTAGTATTTGCTATGCTTTCAAGAGGTCTATTGCATGCATAAAATTTAAGGCAGTTTTGTCTAAGGTGTGAGATTTGAGAAGCTGCTTCTGGAGGGAACGTGCCTTCCCTTTTTCCCTCCTTTCTGTTTGTTTATTTTTAGTAGTTTCCATGGTGGATGTTGCATGCTCATTGTAGTCTTCTGAGTAGCTTCCATGTCTTTGGCTAGTACCATACTTTGTATTCAGTTGAGTTACTGGGGAAAAACTGAATGACTGGGAGGTGAGTGGCTAATTAAAACACTAGATGACAAGATCAGAAGCAGCCTCTGAATCACATAAATGCAATGTTTTATGTATTGTGTTTGCCTTTTTGTTTAAGAAGTCATGACTCACTAAAAGTAAGGATCCAATTTGAGAAATAGTTTATTGAGAACTAGCCACGGAGGTGCTGAATATGATAAAGACAACATGTAGATAAGAACAAGCTGAATTAACAATATAAAAGTTTATCTTGTGAACACTCTCCTAGCTTATCAACTGGTTAGTCTCATACACTCACACAGGGATTTTGGAGAGTTTGCATAAGGTTCTTACACCAGTAAACCAAACTTTGAGTAGTACTTTTCAGTAGTATTTTGAGAGTAGGAAAGCAACTTCATTAGCTTACCTTCAGCTTCCCACTGTTAGTGAGCACAGAGAATGAGAGAAGTCTTCAAGAGTAAGGCGTGGGGATCAGAGCAGTGAAAGCAGGAGAAAAAAATAATCTCCAAATGGAAGATGTTAGAAAGTGAGAAGTTGCTAAGCGGAGTCCAAAGTTGTGCAATAAGTGAATCACTTTAGCACTGATGTGCCAACTTTTCATAAGATTAACTGAAAATGCTTTTATTGGGTTGCAGTTACTGTTAGTAAAGTTTGTGATTCTTGTGATTCAGAGATTGTACTTTTTAGAAATGATTTGTGGCATAATAAGCTGTTAATTCTTGATTGGTGCATTGAAAGTTTTAAAGCATACCCTATGAAGCGTGTTCTATGTGCAAGAAGCACTGCATGCAGAAATTTTACTTAAGAAAAATGCATAGTATCCCTGAAGAGTTTTGAATGTTACTTGAGTATGCATTATTTGGCTTCTTTTGAAAGATGTTATTGTGGAATTCCTTTTTCCCATCTTCTGCTTCTCAGACACTCATTTTTGTCCTCTTTTCTCTTTAGCTCTGTGCACCTCTTATCTTTTATCTTTCACTACTACCAGCTTTCTACTATCTCGTTCATCTTTATCTAAAAAGAAGGTAGGTGATAATCAAAGGACGAAGAAGGAAGTGGGCTGCTTGGGTTGTGTGTAGGGTTTTCTAATTTTTCCTATTTTTAAAAGTTTTGTGTGAAAATTCATTTTTTGAAAAGGCTACATGGAATGATGCTTGAAAAAGTAGCAAAGTAATATATGATGGTTGAAGTAAGTTGTAAAGAGTTTATTACCATATTTAAGATGATAAGGACATAGAAAAGATTACAAAATGGTTTTAATGAACTCCTAAAGAATGCAGCTGTGTGTGGCCTCTGGAAGCAGAACATCACTTAAGAATTTGCAGCAGACTCGACCTCTGTCTACTACACACTGTAGTTAGTAATAATGTGATCTTGGGGTGCTTCTTGTTACTGTTCTTCACAGTTCAAAGAAAGTCGATGCAAGACTCAGAATTCTTGCCAAAACTTAAATTCCAGTGATCATGTTCTACCTTACTCTGCAAGGTTTTCTCTTTTTCCTTTCTTTCTTTTGTGATCGTTTAACGCAATTCAGGAAAACCTTGGCCTTGATTGTTACTTGTTGAAAGTTTTTTAAAAATCTAAACAATTGTGCACCATAATCTGAAATTTCTACTCCACTCCACTAAGCCTCAGTATGTTACCTTCTGACTTTAAACCTGTTGATTAAATTCTAAGATTAAATTAAGTTGAGGAAAGGTTAACAGAACTTAAAATGCTTTTTTTTACATGGTTAGTATGCGCAAGACAATAGTACTAAACTAATTTATTCACAGGTTGATAGAATATGTGTACAACTGTAATTTTCAGGAAGAGAAGTAATATTTTTTAAAAAATCCTCTGTTTTCTTGTGTAAATGAGCAGCTTCACTGCCATTTTTCATTCAAGGTACAAGAAGAAACTGTTTAGAAAAAGATGCAAAAGCATGCCTTGCAATGTGACAGACTTTCCCTTTAGCAGTTTGTTCTGCACTGTCGATGTGCTTGTGCTTTGGGTTTTGAGCCGTTACCTGCAGCTGATGAGCTCCAAAAAGAGCGAAACCAGTTAGGTCCTGCAGTACTGGCTGAAATCTTTCTTCAGGGAGCTTCTGTTGAGGAAGACTGGAAAATCTTTTCTGCTAGACAAGCTTGAGTTACCTTTTTCAATTTTCATCATGACAGAAGGTCTTTGAGACTGTTTTCTTAATGCATACGCACTTGTTTTAGCTGTGTCTGTCTGCTGCTCTCCATTTCTCCTACTTGTAATCTCAATTAGTGACCAGTTTGAGCAGTGCTTGTTGTTACGGGTTTTTTTAAAGGAGGAGTCTGAAAGCTGAGGTTAATCAATAAGTAGCGCAAGTAATTATACGTTTGTCCTTTGAAGTTCGATATTGCCATCTTTGTTTTCTTAATATTTTATTCATTAGTTGAAAGAGGGAGTTCAATTTTTAAATTTTTTTTATTTTTTTTAATCTTCATTTCCACAGGTCTTGGTGAGTTAGTTTTTCCTTTCAAGGCAAACACCCTTTTCTGCTGATACTGGTTTTTGTGCATGGGAGGGAGCTGTTTTGCTTTACATATATCTGTTTTATCTTTTCTTTTGTTGTATCTCTCTTTTCTCACAGTTCACTATTTCAAGAGATTTTGATGGCAGATTCAGGAAGAATTTTGAATGGGCTGATGAGACTTAAATATGACTGCTACTTAATACTATAGATAGGGCTTAGCTCTGTGTTCTGTAATGAAGTTAGGGTTACTAACTGAAGTCAGACTATGACTGTTTAAAGCTGTAATCAGCTTTACTTACAAATAGGTGGCATTATTTTTTCTGAGATTTTCTCATGTGTGTATAGTTGTGCTTCCAAGATGTATAGATTTATTTTCTGAGACAGTGAATGGTTTTCCAGACCTACACAAAGAGCAAAGTCAGCACAGAATACTTAGCTACCACAGAATACAATGATATTACAGGCTACAGTTTCATGAGGTTGAGTTGCTTTAACAACTCAGTGCAGCTGAAGTTCCTCCTGTTCTCTGCTGAAGCTGCCTTTTTTCCACATGCTCTCTCCCTCTGCTAGCCATGCAAAATCTTTTTTGCCTACTTTATTCTGGAGCTGGCATCTGGCAGGTCCTTCTAGAATCATAGTATCATCTGAGTTGGAAGGAACCCTTAAAGGCCTTCTGGTCCAACCCCCCTGCAGTGAGCAGGGATGCCCACAGCTCCATCAGGTGCTCAGAGCCCCATCCAGCCTGACCCTGGCTGTCTCTAGGGATGGAGCATAATCTTCTACTAAAAGATTTTGTAAATTCCTAGCACAAGAGGAAAATATTCTTCAGGGCTACTGAGAAAAATAAGGTCATTAAAAGATTATTGGAGTCAGAGCTGATGTGAAGGCATACAGGAGACTATACAATCAGGAGCAGTCAAAGAAGAGTTGAAAACAACATAGGAAAGGGAAGAAAGACTCTTTTAACAGTAATATGAGTGTTATTACAGTGATTCAGCCATCTGCAGAACTCCAGTTTTGAATTACAGAGTGAAGACTGATTACCTGGTTAGAAGATCCTGCCTGTCTTGGAGGGACTGGGGGGAAGATGTATAAAATAGTTACAAGAGGATATAATATTCAACTTGATAAATTTTACCTGAGTTTCTGATCACTCTAAATATTGCTTATGCTGTCTGAAAGTATGATCAGTACTTAGACATAACCATGGGAAACAGACCTCAGGCTTTTCAGAACCCTTTACTGTCTTAGTGCAATTGTTCCCCTTTACTTTGCCCTCCTGAGGCCTCATCTGGAGTGCTGTTTGCAAGCCTGGGACCCCAGCATTAGAAAAACATGCAGACGTTGAGCCAGGTCCAGAGGAATACCACAAAGGTGATCAGAAGGCTGGAGCACCTCTCCTATGAAGAAAGGTTGAGGGAGATGGGCTTGTTCAGCTTGGAGAAGGCTCTGGGGAGACCTCACTGCAGCCTTCCAGTGCTTGAAGGGAGCGTATGAACAGCAGGGAGATTGACTTTTTACATGGACAGATAGTGATAGGACAAGAGGAAATGTCTTTAAATAAAAAGATGTTATGTGGAATTTTTTCACTCAGAGGATGGTGAGGTGCTGGTCCAGGCTGCCCAGAGAAGCTGTGGATGCCCCATCCCTGGGGGAGTTCAAAGCCGGGTTGGATCCCTGAGCAGCATCATCAAGGGGATGGCAACTCTGCCCATGGCAGGGGAGTAGGAACTAGATGATCTGTAGGGTCCCTTCCAAGTCAAACTATTCTGTGATTCTAGGGCAGTGTTGCTTCCTACTGCGCTGCTGTGTACGCCATGTTGCAGTGCTTGATACGGCTGTGTGTGTAGGAGTCCATCCTCAGAAGCATCTGAAATTAGTCAGTTTTGGATCAGACTGATGTTGTGTGCAACAGCAGATCATTTCTGATTGTTCTGTGATACACCAGAGGTCCCGAGCCAGAAAGTATGGTGCAATATAAATGACATGCTCCTTTATGTAACAGTATAAACCTGTTCTTTACAGATGTAGGATGGTTATTCTGTCTGCATGTTGCTTCCATTAGTTCTTGTGTCTGTCATCCCTGTTACATATGAATGGATGACAGAAGTTGCTTTGCAAATAGTTTCTGAACTGAATCAGATGAAAACCTGCTGCTGGGATGAGTAGTTTTGCTGTGAAGTTGTTCGTACTCTTAGAGAACTTCTGCAGTGTTCTTGTCAGTAAGGATCTAAAATTTGAAACAGGATTCTAGAATTTGACTTAGTGAGGTTCTGTGTATTATTTTATGTAGAGCAGGCTTATGAATTCCTTTATCTGTGCTTTTATTCATGATCAATAAAATGATAAATAGTAAAGTTTATAGGTAAATCTAACTTACATTTTAAAGTTAGCTTTTTTTATTCTCTTACATTGTATCAGTGTTCTATCTACCATGGTTTACCCAGTAAATAAATTCCTAACTGTTAATAGAAGAAAGCCACTCTGCTCACTACAGTATTGGAAGTATTTTCTTTAAAATCCTACATTTGACTGTCAACTTATTTCACCAGCCAAGAATAAATTATCCAAAAGATTATTTCCTTATGATGCTGCAGAAAACAGGATTATAGGACTATGTTTGACACAACATAAAGATTAGCTGATGAGTTGGTACTCGTGACTTAAATTTGAATAAAATCAAATCATCAATGACATGATACAAAGTGAAACTTTAAGACTTGAGGCTTTTCAAATCTATGTTAAAACATCAACCATCCATCATTTGGTACTGTAAATGTTTCTTGTGGCTTTTCAGATTTTCATCAGAACTGTCTACTTGGGAATGCTAGTTCATGTGTAGAGAGCCAATCTGTGTACTGAGAGTTCTTGCTTTTAAGTGAACAACAGAAGATAGCTATGTAGATAGCTATGAAAGTAAAGAACATTGAAGAAAATCCTTTTTACTTGGGTACATACAAAGCTTTTATTAGGGAAATAGTTTAAAAAGGGGAAAGTAGGTTTGTAGAATTCTGCAGTGTTTTTTAGTGAAATAAATGTGAATAATGAGTAACATACCAACAAAATAAGAGATTAGGGCTTAAGGTTTCAGTATCAGGAGTTAAGGTGTCTCTGAAGGTGAGTAGATAAGGAAGAGGGTACAGAAGTTGTAGGTTGTATACTTGCCTGCGCTGAATCTGTCCAGTAAATGTGAGACTGCCTGTTTGTTCTGCTCTTGTGGGAGGAAATATGTTCTATATTTACCTTTCCCTGTTAAGCACAACCAAACGTGAGCACGCTGCTTGAAAGGAAATCATCAGCATTCAGAAGTTGCAGTTATTTGTGTTTTTATGAGTTAGCCACAGGGGAGGACTGGTTACTTTGATATTGACTTTACTTATTCTGTAGTACTTCCCAGACTGGGATTCAGGGGAGAAAATAAGGATATAATGCCAAATCAGATTGACTCAAATGATCTCTGGGAACAAAGCAGAAAGAGAATTTGAATTGGAAAAACAAAGTCCTGCACTGTAAACAATCTCTGAGAGAAAAAGAAAAATCGGGGTGATTTCTAATAGAATGTTTAAATATAATTAAGTGAAGAAAATGTAACATTTTGATCCATTTATAGCAGTACAGATTTTTGAAAAAACAAAACAACAAAAAAAAACCATTATTGGGGATACCCACTTCTCTGCAATGTGGTAAATATGAGGAAATAACATAGAGGAAGAATCTCAAGAAAATTTTATATACTTATTTATACTGTTTGCCAAAGAGAAAGTGACAGCTGCTGCCCTCTGGCCAGTTGATAATGGAAGACCTCAGCATGCTGCTTTTTGACTTGTAGCCCACTTGGCATCTTTGTGCTTTGTTTTGCGGTGCAGGGGGGGTTCCCACAATCAGAAGATTCAGCTGTAGAAAATCCAGCTGAGGAAAGGATCGTGAAGTCTTCTGAGTAAACAAATTTTAGATGCTACTGAGGGAATTTCGATTTCTCCTAACAGAAATCCTGTTAGATGGCGATAGGAGAAATGGAGGAGATCAGGAAGTTTATGAAGATGTGGATTATATTGTCTTTATGTTAATGGTCTTGGTCACTTTTGATAACCTTGCAAGTGTAGAAAGGCTTCATATTTCTTTTTCAGAATCGTGTAATTTTCATCTTTCATAACTGGCAACTGTATTTTAGAACTTCAGCCTCAGAACTTCACCTTTCCATTGAGTTCCAGAAAGCTTATATGCAGTGCTTGATGAAGAAATGTGGGGAAGACAGTGGTTATTTTGGGCAGGAGTTCACTATGCAGTCTGTCAGTCAGTCGTCCTGTGCGTTATAGAGCCTCTGAAACCAAACAATTGGATGTGTGTGTTTGCCTCTTTCTTCTGCAGTTTAACATGTTGAGTATCCCCCAGGTGTACTATTTGGTGACTGTAATTCAATGGCATTGATAGCATGTGTTAGATTTTAAGGTATATTGATGAGATTCTTGAAATTTTCTGTTTGCACATGTGCATATGCAAAGTTTTGTTTTGTTTTTTTTCCTTCCACAGATATCCTTTAAAATTGTCATGCAAAAACGTGTTGGTATATCCTATTCTGACATGTTCTTTTGAAGGTAGTCTAGAAATCTAGAAAAATCATCCTTTTGCTTGAATGTACTTCACTAGTATTGTTCACAGTACTTAGGTGATACTTGATCTTTCCATTACTTTCATTCAGGGCTTTTGTTTAGCATTCTTATTTGTTCCAGTTAAACTGAACTAGTTGAACAAAAACATTGGAAATGAGCGGACACCTAAATGTTTATTTGGAAGTTTTCAGGCTTGTAATGCTATTTTTGTTTTGATTTCAGAATGCTCTCTTTAGTTGTATTAACAGAAATGAAAGTAAGTATGTAATGAATAGTTTTTTGGTTTTTTTGTTTTTAGTTTTCCTTTTATAAGCTAACAACTCTTCCTCTGAAATGCAAGAAATTCTGTAGGCGAACATGTGCGCAAATCACATGGATTTGGTTCCACAGAAGGGCTAGGCAAATGTCTAATTTTTTTTGCTCAAGTGGTAAGAAGATTGGGCTGTTTGCATAATTGCTATCAATTTTTAATTTATGTATCTGTATATGTTTGGGTTTTTTTTAAACAAAATAAAGCAGATATGTTTGAAGTCTTGTGCCACGCAAGTGCTGTGTTGTCTGATTTCTGTCTATAGAAAATGAAATAGCTGGGCACAGAGAACTCAATGTCTCAGAATTAATTCCAATAATAGTATTTAGTGGTTGGCAATCCTGCCCACAGCCGGGGCACAGGAAATAGTTTGTCTATAAGGTCCCTTTGAACCCCAGCAATTCTGTGATTCTGCATCTCAAGAACAGTATATTTAATAACATGGCAAAATGTGTGAATCGCAATGATTCAAGCTCTCTCTTATTTGGTTTAAATGAGTTTTGAGATACTGGTTTCATATTTATTTGTTTACCATTTGTATTTGTCTAATAATTCAGTTATAGAGAAAGATTAGTTACATTAAATAGGAGCAAAATATGTGAGGATATAATTCAGATGGCTTATTAATGATTTAAATGTGAATTCAAGATAGGTGGGAACCAGAAAATGTGCTTTGACTAATTACAGATATTCCCATGCATTCTGTAGACAGATTATTTTGCTGAAGATAATTTGGTCTTCTGCGTTGCTTTTTCTGTGTTGTTTCTTTTTTAAAGTAGTATCTTGTGCATCATTACGTGGGGTACAGACATGGTCACATCTTTGTTCCCCTGTGTAGGAAACCATGGGTTTTTCTTTGTCTTTCTTTTTCCCCAGTGGGGTCAATCTGTTGCAGTTATGCAGGTCACCATACAAACTGTCGAGAATATTGTCAAGCAATTTTTCGGACAGACTCCTCTCCTGGTCCTTCACAAATAAAAGCAGTTGAAAATTACTGTGCATCAATTAGCCCTCAGCTGATACACTGTGTGAACAACTATACGCAATCCTATCCAATGAGAAATCCTACAGATAGTAAGTATAAAAATTCTTCTATGAACGTTTTTCCTCTCAAAATGTGTGTAAGGTGCTCTGAAAGCAATACCTGCAATTTATTTCAAACCACTGTTTACAACATAGTCACCACCATGAGGTGTGCATTTTCACCAGCAGTGAACAGGAGCCTTCATGCCAAGCTTGTAAAAATGTGCATCCATGGAGGCGAACTACTGTTGTTGTCACTGCTGAGACATACCACTCACCACCTCACTGGGCTCACCTCACTCTTTGGTCTCCAGAAATGTTCAGCAAGCACTGATGAACATCAATGGGTGCCTTTTTTTTCCCCACACCTATTCTGTTCCACACTTTGCATGGTACACGCTTCCTTGTCAGACAGCATTTTGTCAGACTGGCCTTCTCTGCCATCTGTTGCACAGCAACAAAATGTAGTAGAACATTGGTAGAAGGGTTCAACCTCTACTGCCTTACCACCAACTTAAACCTCTGACCGTGGGCCAAAATAATAGCATTGGAGGTATTACTTTTGGAGCAGTCATCATATTATTGAATATTGTTTATTCTATAAACTATATGAACACACTTGTTAGTAATATGTAATTATATTAATTTATACAATGACTACTTTTATTTATAGGTGCACTTGGTTATTATTATTATTATTATTATTATTATTATTATTTTATTCTCCATACTGGTTCCTGTTTTTCTTGTTTGCATTTCCAAGAAGCAATGTTATCTGAAATAGAATAGAAGTAGAATAAAAATGCAATAGAAAATAGCTTTAGTTGGAAGGGACCTACGAAAATCATCATACTACTGCAGGGCTGACTCAAAGTTAAAGTTTATCATTAAGAGCATTATTCAAATGTCTTTTTAACATGTACAGGCACAAGACATCAACCAGTTATCTAGAAAGACTGTTCCAGCATCTAATTACTCTGTTTTTAAATAACTTTTTCCTAATGTCAGCTCTGAACCTGTCCTCACACAAGCTTAGCCATTCCCATGTATCTTGTTACTAGATACCAGGGAGAAAAGTCAAGCACCTTTCTCTACTTCCTCTTCCACAAGAGGGCAATGAGGTCAGCCCTCAGACTTCTTCTCTCCAAGCTTAAGAAGCTCAGTACCCTCAACCTCTCTTCATAGGGCATGCCTTGCAGGTACTTCACCATTTCTGTTGCCTTCCTCAGGATGCAATCAAGTATCTTAGTATCCTTTTTATATTGTAGAGTCCAGAACTGCACAGTGTTCAAGGTGAGATTGTATCAGTGCTGAACACAGTGGGGTAATCACCTGTTTTGACTGGGTGACTGTGCTGTGTTTAATGCACTTAATTCCCAGTCTGTACCTGCATCTAGCATTACTCTGTCCCAAGCACGGTCTGATATTTGTTCTTCTTAAATTTCCCAGCATTGCACCAGTCTTTCTAGATTCCTTTGCAAAGCCTCTTCCTCCTCAATCTTGAGTCACAAGCACCTCCCAGTTTAGTAGCATCATCTAATTTACTAAGGATGTGTTCAACTCCTGCATCCACAGGTGATCTGTAAAATGTGTTGAACAGAACTGGCCCCAAGGTTGAGCTCTAGGGAACTGCACTAGTGACTGTCTGCCAGCCCCACGTATTACAACACTTCGAGCCCTGCTGTTGAGCTGATTTATCCATCTAGAACATCTAATAGCATACTCCGTAACCCAGGTTAAATTTCGTAAGGCCCAGTGGACTTAAAAATGTTGAGCTGACCTAAGTGGTTCCTTACACTTCTGGCATCCACAAATGGAGAGAAAGTTGCTTCTCCCCCAGTTAGGTCGTCTAGCTCAATGGACTTGGGGAACTCAGGAGCCCATCATTAATATTATAGACAGAAGCAAAAAGGACACTGAATGTTTCTGCATTTTGTAATTCCTATTTATCAAATGATTGGTTTCATCTAGTAATGGTCCAGTATTTTCCATAGACGCCTTCTTGCTATTGGCATACTCAAAGCCCTTTTGTTGCTATCTGAAAAATCACTGACTAGCTTTAATTCTGATTGAGCTTTGACTGTCTGTGTTTTCTTCCTGAAAATGCAAACTGCACTTCTGTTATTTTCCTGTATGGCCTGACCTTGTTTAGGGAGATGATAGACTTTCTTGAGCTTGAGTTCCAGGAGGAGTTCCCTGTTCAGCTAAGTTAGTCTAACGCCCTGTTTGCTTGGCTTGTCACACAGTGAGATTGCCTGCTCCCATGTTTTGTAAAGGTAGTTCTTAAAAAGTGACTGTCTCTCATGGGACTATGAAGTCTTCAAAAGCAAATTCCAAGGGCACTCAGCTAACTAAGTTTGATGTCTGCTCTCTTAAAAGCTGGGGTAACAATGCTGCTATTTTTCTCATTTCACCTCCCAACTAACTAACTAACTATTTTTTTTAGAAGAAAAGTGCCCTGTAACAATTTTTCTGTGAGGGCTTTTATGTCATGTTTCTTGGTTGTTGCTGTATGCTTGAAAATTAACTGTTATTTCTTAAACAGGTTTGTATTGCTGTGATAGAGCAGAAGACTATGCATGTCAGACTGCTTGTAAAAGAATTCTAATGTCAATGAAAACAGAGCTTGAAATTGTTGATGGACTTATAGAAGGCTGCAAAACGATGCCTCTTCCTCAGGATCCACTTTGGCAATGTTTTCTTGAGAGTTCAAGGTCTGTTCACCCAGGAGTCACTGTGCACCCTCCACCTTCAACAGGCCTCGATGGAGCAAAACTTCATTGCTGTTCTAAAGCAAACTCTTCCACATGTAGGTCAGTATCTCTCTACCTTCCTCTCCAACTGTGGAAAGGCTTCAGAAGTTGTTTTATGTCAGGCTTTTGCCCAAATCTAACTGCGTACATCTAAATAATGAGTTCTGTGAATTCGCGGAAGCAAAATAGGTTTAGGTAGTCTCATGAGTGTCATGTTTACTTAAGAACAAAAACAAAAACTGTTCCATTGGAAAAATCAAACTTCTCATTTTTAGCACTGGCAGAATGTAGCAGACACACTGAAATTAATGAAAGCTATACCTTACTTGTGGTAATACTAGTATTGAAGTAAGCTGAAGAGATTTTATCAAGATGCTGATGACAATGAACAGCATTCTTACAAATAATTGCTATTGGGCCCTTTTTAGTTCAGAGTGATTGTCCATCCACTTTGAAAAGATAATTGCTACATTTTAAATTCATCAGTTTGACAAGGTGAAATTTAATTCTGAGCTGTTGCTTTCTTTTATGCGTAAGTTTTCATTAGCAGAGCAGCAGACCTCCTGCTTTACGGTCTTTTTTGTAGTGTAGCCCTAGAATTTCGTTATTATGTAGAATGCTGTAGCACGGGGCAGTTAATACAGTAACTTTTAGTTGCTTGCTGTAATAATCATTTCTTTAAAATTGATCCTTTCTTAACGTTTTCAATGTGCAGTAGACTTTAACATTATAACAAAGTACCATACCTTCATTTGGTGGGGACAGTCGTAGTTTATGGGATATTGCTGTGAACAAAGGGGCCCTGAGTGTTGTTAACACTAGACAAATCTCAAACACTTGCACTTGTTTCAAATATCATGGCAAAGGAAGAAATGCATTTTGCTTGCTGGTCTTTTCTGTAACACGAATAGGTGTGATCTGAAGATAAAGGGTGGGATTAGAAATTGTTTATTGTTGTGTTAACTAGATTTATTATCTATCAAAGTTCAGACTCCAGGTATTACATTTATGTTGAATGTTTTATATTCTGAAGTCTTTCAGTCTTAGTGGTGTAAAATTTTGCTAACATTCTTAAGCAAAACTGAACCCATTGGGAAGTGGCTATTTGCTTAGAAGACATTTGGATACTCCTGCAGAACGTATTGGCACTACCACAAATTTCTAGTCAGTGCAGGCTGTTGTAATCAGCAAGGAGACTACAGGCTCTGCTATAGCTGAACAACTGCTGTTCTTTTCACTTGATTTTACTTTTCTTTCCCTCCAAGGGAGCTCTGCACTAAGCTTTATAGCACGAGCTGGGGCAGTTCACAGAGTTGGCAAGAATTTGATCGCTTTTGTGAGTATAATGCAGTTGAAGTTTCCATGTTGACCTGTTTAGCAGATGTACGAGAACCTTGTCAGCTGGGCTGTAGAAATCTTTCTTACTGCACTAATTTTAATAACAGGTAGGAGAGAGACACTGGATATTTTAAAAAATAATTTTTGTGCTTTGATTAAAAAATATGTTTTTCAGGCTTGATTATATTTAGCTTTCAGATATTGTAAAGTTAGTTGTTGTTTAGAACATTAGAATAAACTCATGAGTTTGTAAAATGCCATCATATATTAGCAGTATATTCCTCTGTCTTAATATATAGGCAAGTAAACCATATTTGCTGCAATATTATAATATTATGCATTATAAATAAGTTAAAGAATTCTCAAGTTTATATGTTACTTAATAACATTTTCCTGAGAGTGTTAATTTTCTTTCAAAATTCTTTTTCTTTTAGAGCTATTTGTGTGGTTTTATTCTCTATAGGACAAAATGTATAATTTTAAGTGCTGCCTGAATTAGTCATTGCGAGGTTACTAGTTAAGTCATGTTTGAGTTTCAAAAGTACATTTGACATTTTATCATTTAGCTGGCAGGGATTTCTGGCTTTTCTTTGAAATACGTCACCGTGCCACTCTGTGGTCATACAGCCACTATATACTGAATAGTAAATGTGATAAATGCAGCCCGGGCAAAAATTAAATCAACTTACATTAGTGATTTGACACAAAACGTTCCAGCAGATTTTCAGTGCATTTAAATGTTTGCTCAGTATGTCAGTTTTCTTCAGGTAAGAAAAAAATGAATGATGCGTGATCTGAGAGGGAAGTGAAGAAGGCATTTTGGCCTTGAGCCTTCAAGAGACTATTTTTCTTAAAGATAGAAATTAAACTGGTTTTGGTCATGCTTAACTGTGGAAAGGATTCCTGTATTTTATGCCACGACAGGCAAGCCATTTCAAAGCTGTAGAATTCATATAGTGAAAGGTAAAATGTGTGGTGTTTTCTTTCTCTTGTATACCTGCAATTTCTTAATTTTTTTTTAAGACCAACAGAACTTTTCAGAAGCTGCAATTCGCAGTCAGACCAAGGAGCCATGAATGACATGAAGCTTTGGGAAAAAGGGAGTATTAAGATGCCATTTATAAATATTCCTGTTCTTGATATTAATAAATGCCAACCAGAAATGTGGAAGGCAATTGCCTGCTCACTGCAGATTAAACCTTGCCACAGCAAATCTAGAGGAAGTATTATCTGCAAGTAAGTACCAAGAAAAAAAAAAAAACAGAGGTTTTGCTAAGGATTTTAATGAGAACTGAAAAATTACCATAGAATTGTGTATGACTGCTGTTAGGAAAACATGGCAGAGCAAACACAGAGGGAGTGTAAGCTTTCATGGTTGCTTCATCCCTGTAATAATTCTTTGCAGTGTTCCATCCCTGCAAATTGAAGATGCTTGCCTCCAAATGAAATGGATAGGTGTTGAAAATGGATTGTTTGTTGTTTTTTGTGTTTGTTTGGTTTTTTAACTCTTATCTATGAAACTCCCTTTTTTTTTTTTTCATTTGTGGATCTATTTTCATATGACAAGTCTGGAAAACACATGTTTTAAAGGAAAAACAAAATTTGAAATACATGACCAGGTAGAAGAGAAACCAGTTAATATGTACCAGTAGTGAGATGTGATTTAAACCCATAAAGTTGAACCCAAGGAAATGCTGGATCTTAAAAGATACTTGCAAATGAAGTCATAGAAAACAAACAAAGCTCATCAAGCCCAAAAGAGCGCGTGTGTGTGTGTGTGTGTGTGTGTGAGTGTGAGTGTATGTGAAGTATATCCATTCCTCTGCTGTGAGGCAGCAGGAATTACAGGAATTAGAGGAAGAGAAGAATAGTAATACAAGACCTTTTCTTTTTTAAGTGGTGTTCATTAAGTTCTTTTTGTTTATTCACCTGCAGATCAGATTGTGTGGAAATACTAAAGAAATGTGGAGATCATAATAAATTCCCTGAAGGCCACTCAGCTGAAAGTATTTGTGAGCTCTTGTCTCCAACAGATGACTTGGAGAACTGCATTCCTTTGGATACATACCTGAGTAAGTACTGACATATGTAAACAACAAATTAGAAAACCAACATGCTTTGAGTGCTTATCACTACTGTTAATCATTTGTTATTTCTTTCAAATAAAATGAATTCTTGTACAAAATTGGAGCTTTGTAAAATTTTGGTTAAAGCTACAGCTGAAAGTATTGCTAAACTTATAAACTGATTCCAGAGAGATGGTGTATTAAAGCTTTGGGTGGTTCTTTCCATTTAGTTGCTTTGTTTGTCTTCCCTTTCTTGTAATAGGAGAATTGGAGAGTATTACTAGTGAATTTAATTCTGAAGAATATAAATAAATAAATATAGAATAAAACTTTATCAGTGATACCAGACTTGGTACAACATAAAGTCTACTTCAAACCAATAATTTCTTAATTATTGACCATAAGAATTTTCTTGATTGAACTAGCAGTCATTGTCAGTTTGTCCTTTTGTCATTTAGAGGAAAATCATAGAGAAGCAAGATAAGGAATTGTATTTTGCTTGTGAAGAATCACTTGGGTCAGTACTTCCATGATTGAGTACTAAACTTGACAAACCATGTTGTCATGTCAGGGTTTTACAAGTATAATTAAAAGTTATATATAAAAAAGATCTAATAGTGTTCAAAAATAAGGTTTTACTGTCTGTAACAAATGCCATGTTTCCTGTAGATAAATTAGCCTCATTTAAATCATTGTAGATGCTGTATACTTTGCTTTCAGGTCCAAGTTCTTTAGGAAACATTGTGGAAGATGTTACTCATCCATGTAATCCAAATCCATGTGCAGCTAATCAGTTGTGTGAAGTAAATAGAAAAGGATGTCAGTCTGGAGAATTGTGTCTTCCATATCTGTGTGTACCAGGTAAGGGTTTGAACTTCTGTTTGCCTAAATTTTGGTGGTAAAAATTTTACTGAAAAATTTATGAAAGCTTTAAAATGAATTGCTGATATCCCACAAGAACTATTATCACAATTATCTGTTCAAAACCTGTAGCACGCTTTGCAGATCTTCTTGGTTCTTATTTTTGTATTGTTATTCTTGACTAAAATGTAATATTTAATTTAAAAATACTGTTAATTAATTTTTCTTCAGAAGAAATAAATATCCATACATGATCTCTAGCCATCCTGCCCGCTATTTAAAATTACAAGCATACAGTACTGAAAAATACACTTCAGTTCACTGCAGCTCCAAATACAATAGCGTGTTACCCTGTATTTGTTAGCCATATCCATATAATTTTCCTCATTGGTCAAATAAGAGCACATTGTCTCTTGCCTTGAAATTAATGAAAATTTGGCTGTCAGCCTTGGAACGACATTCTGAGAGCTCTGAGAATCTGATCAAATGCAGGAGGATGAAGGATGTGCACTTGCTCTGGCACAGCAATTCTGATATTACATTGAAGTTCAAGATGGTATCTTATGTGTTGTCCCAAATCCACCACTGACCAGAACAACATCTTGATCCCTCTTTAGTGGCTCAAAGGCGAGTAGTTCAGCCCAAGTGAATACTTTTGCGTAAGAGCTTCCTTGTTTCTACAGTCTTTTACTTCACAAGATTCAGAGTTCCAGGACTTGAGAAGAAAGTGGCATGGATGTAATTTATTTGCCTGTCCTTCTTTCTCTCTACTCTTCAAGCTAGCAGCAGTGATGAAGCATCTTTGCCCTTTAATGACTGGCACCACTATGAGCTTATTGACTCGGGAAAACTCCAAGTATCAAAACTCCAAGGCAAATGAACTCCATGTCTCTACAAAATCTGTAGGCTTGTACTTTTGAGGAAAGTGACACTGAGTTTGGGAAACAACAAAGACACAAGTAATGAATATTGTATTGCTGTTTTGTCCTTCCACATAAGGCCAATGGTACTTCTTATTAAAGATGAAGACTGGAGATGCAAAAGTACACGACTGACTGCATTTTTGCTGCTGTTTGGATGAGTGATAACGTAGCTGCATCTTACTAGAAAGGAATTCATGGCCATTTGGCGGCTACTTTTTTGAACATAGGAGTTGTCTAACTTCTGTACTGAGCTTTAACTTGAACTGATTTTGAGAGAATGCCTCATGTAGAATGAGCTTGTTATCTAACTTCAGAATAGCAGGCTTCGATGGTGATGATATGTGATGGTGATAAGGTTTGAATCTGCAAAAAGAGGTGGGAGATCATACTGTGTCCAGATTCTACAGCCCCTTCTTTGTTCTACCTTAGACATCAACAGTGCTTGCTGAAATTCTTTTGCCCCCTTTCAATCAGAAGGTATCACTGAGTGATATGAGGAATCACCTGTGGATCTTGAAGCAAAGAGGAAATTTGGTAACTGCTTAAAACCGTTGTATGAGTGAGGGAGAGTGAGAAGCACTGATATTTAACCTGAATTGCTTGCAGCAGCAGCACTTTTACTAGAGGAGGTGACAGAGAATGTGGAATTTACCACATCACATATGTCTCCTACTTCTAAACAACTGTGGAACATAAGGGTTACTTGACAGACGTTGAAACTATGAGTCTTTTTATCTTAAGTGGTGTTTCTGCAAGTACTTCATGACACTGCCTCAGTTATCTTCCATTTCTCCTACTTGTTGCTGTAATAAGGGAAGGGTAGAGAAAAACTACTTTGGCTTTTTTTTCTTTTTCTTTTAAACAAATCAAACAGCAGTGGTTTTCGTAGTGGCACTCCAATTCAAATTTTAAATATATTTTTGGTTACATTTGTCTTTGTATACAGGCTGCAAACTGGGAGAAGCCTCGGATTTTATTGTCCGTCAAGGTACACTTATTCAGGTTCCATCCTCAGCTGGTGATGTTGGTTGTTACAAGATTTGTACTTGTGGACACACTGGATTGCTAGAAAATTGTGTAGAAATGCATTGTGTTGACCTCCAAAAATCATGCATTGTTGGAGGACAAAAAAAAAGTAAGTATCAGAATGGTAATTATATCTTTACAGAGCACCTTTTCCTTAAGTAATGAAATTTGAGTTGCGTATGAAGATCAGAGGAATAGAATGCAAAGTTTGTCAGAAGATACAGCGATTAATACCTGCTTCCTCATATGTAACACTTGTTTAATACTTTTATATGCTGGAGTTGCATTATTTAAGTCAGTACTGAATAAAGTCTGACTAAAGTAATGAAAGTTCTTTGTAAGTTGTTCTTAGTGTGCCATTTTTCAACCAAAAGGTCACTGACTTCCTTCACATGCCCTGTATTTTATAGTACTCCATAGCACCTGGCTTCTTTTGTGATAGCAGAACTTGCTCATGAGAGCTTTGTCACGGAAATGATCTGAGGAGAGTCAGTAGGCAGCAGGGATGAAGCAAACACAGTAGAACAAATTTCTTTGCTTTAAACACGCTTGGTGCTGAGGTTTAAACCAGTATGCATTGCTCTGCAGATACAAAACTAGTGATACTTTGTGTAAATCTGCTGTAAAATATTCAGGGACTTTGAACATTCATGTGCTGAAAGCAGTTGTTAAACCTTTGTTTTGTTGGACTTTACTTTTTTTCCTTCTGTGTTTGCACTTAATCACTCATGTTACCATAGCAACTGAATAGCTTGCTTTCCCTGGTATATTTCTCACAGAGCTCTCAGTCAGTAAGGTATTTTAACCTCCACAATGTGACATCATAGAATCACTGGCTTTGAACTCCCCCAGGGATGGGGCATCCACAGCTTCTCTGGGCAGCCTGGACCAGCACCTCACCATCCTCTGAGTGAAAAAATTCCACATAACATCTGTATCTCCCCTCTTTTTATTTAAAGACATTTCCCCCTCTCACCAATTCTTCATCCAGTCAGTCTATCAAATAGTCCAGCCTGTTATCTACCGAGTTCTGTCTTTGATCATGGAAGCTAACAGTCTCTGAAAGCTTTCCATCAGGAGAGGGGTGGTCAGCAGGGACAGGGAGGTGATCGTCCCTCTCTACTCGGCTCTTGTGAGGCCCCATCTGGAGTACTGTGTCCAGGTGTGGAGCCCTCAGTACAAGAAAGACATTGAGATTTTGGAAAGGGTCCAGAGGAGGGCGACTAAGATGATCAGGGGGCTGGAGCACCTCCCCTATGAGGACAGGCTGAGGGAGTTGGGCTTGTTCAGCCTGGAGAAGAGAAGGCTGCGGGGTGACCTCATTGCAGCCTATCAATACCTGAAGGGAACCTACACCCACGAGGGGAGTAAACTCTTCAAAAGGGCTGACAACAGCAGGACTAGGGGAAATGGATCGAAGTTGAAGGAGGGAAGATTTAGGTTGGATGTTAGGGGGAAGTTCTATACAAGGAGAGTGGTTAGGCCCTGGAACGGGCTGCCCAGGGAGGTTGTGGATGCCCCGTCCTTGGATGTGTTTAAGGCCAGATTGGACGGGGTCCTGGGCAACCTGATCTGAATGTGTGTGTTTGGTGGCCCTGCTAGGCAGGGGGGTTGGAACTACATGATCCTTGAGGTCCCTTCCAACCCGGGTGATTCTGTGATTCTGTGAAAGCTTTCAAACAGATTGAAAGTCAGTTACTTTTTTAATTCTATAGAATCACGTAAGAAAATATTCTTTTTAGTGTATGCTCCAAATCTTGGAAACTTTTCTTGGAAACTGCTGCAAAAAATCCTTTCTTGTCTAGTTCTGTGTTTTAAACAGCTTCTTATGCTACAGGTGCTTTCTTCTTCCACTCTCTGTTGGTCAGCTGTCATTTGCCTTGGAGTATCTCTTCCAAATTGCTCAAGTGCTGAGGATTTTACTTGTGCTAGATTATTATTTTTCAAGAATTGTAATCTTTAAACTGAACCCTCTGAAAAGGGATTAGAGAAAATTGCCTGATTTTTGTGGGGCATGGTTACTTTCATGCTTTTTGCCTCTTGACAAAAAAGTAACGCACTAAGGATACTAAGGAAAAAGTAACGCACACAAACGAGACAGAAATTGCAGTTCTGAAAGAAACTGAAATTAAGGTAACAATAATTAAAACATTTATCTGTTCTTACTGTTTTCTGGTATGCTTGTATTAATCGGATACATTTACTTAATTATTTTTGTTATTAAGGCCATGGGACATCTTTTAATATAGACTGCAATGTCTGTTCATGTTTTGCTGGGAACTTGATATGTTCCACACGTCAGTGCTTAACTGAGCACAGTTCAGAAGATGAACGTCGGAAGTTTACAGGTAATAAACAACAGAAACTGTAAGTTCTTTGTTCTTAGAGTAAGGATTAGCTTCTAAATTCTTTCTATGGAATGATTCAGTATGAAGATATTCTTTCAACTGTTTATTTTTTAATGTCCAACCTGCACTTCTGGAAGAAAACGCTTTCTTAAAAAAATTGTTTTAGTTTTTAAATCAGTACAGGGAAATTAAACCTCAGGTAGTCTGTGGAAACAGGCAGACAGGACAATGCCACTGGGAGTGACAGACAAGGAGTTTGTGGAAACGATAAAGAAAGTTGAGTAGAATGAGGAAATGGGTAGAACACAGACTTCCTTTCCTACCACACCTAACTGTGTATGTGCCACAGCATTGCTTAATTAATTGCTAACAGCTATCAGCTGCGAGGTTGAAGAGAACAGTACGTCTTCACGTTTCCTGGATGTTAGGATGGCTTAGTGACCTCGAGTGTGTCTTTCATCTGAGAAAATAAGTGTGAACCATACCCTTGCTCTGTGTGTTGCTTTTGCAGGTTTGCCATGTAACTGTGTAGATCAGTTTGTACCAGTGTGTGGTCAGAACGGGCGCACGTACCCAAGTGCATGTATCGCTCGGTGTGTTGGCCTCCAAGACAATCAGTTTGAATTTGGATCGTGTATTTCCAAGGATCCTTGTAACCCTAACCCCTGTAGTAAAAATCAAAGGTAAAACCAAGATATTCTTACGCTTTGACATCTGCTTAAAAGGCAAACGGACCTTTTTCTTTGGTGAACGTATATTGTGTAGCAATGGTTTGCTTTGGAATGGTTTGACAACAGTAGTCTCTTTTTACATATTAAATTATTCACTTACTGTAGCAATGGACTGTAATACCTGCCAATTCTTGGTTCTCTGTATATAGTGCTGAATCATTTATATTTCTTACTCACATCTCAGTTCTAGACACAAGACAGTATTCATGTGTAGTTTTAAAAAAAGGGAGAAAAAAGTTTGTTGGACATTTTATTACTCTGATTCATAATTTCTTCTAACACCAAAGAAAATTAGCCTGAATTGAAAATTTTAATTCATTGCTGCTTATTCAGTTAATGATCTGTGTTTTTAATTTCTGAACTTGGAAAATATCTGTAACACTGGAAGGTTTTAAGTTTCTCTGACAGAATTTCATTGTTGGCTTGTGAAAACCATCTCTGTACACTCTGGATTTTTTTTTATGTAAGAGAAAAATCTGCATAGAGAAATATAACAAAAACTGACTTATGCCAGTGGCAGGACAAAGTCTGAACATTCTTCAAGAGATCAAAGTCCATGGCTTTTACTTTTAGTCTCTGTCTTCAGACAGAGTTCTTCATTTTCTCAGTCTTGTGCGATTTGGAATGGTAAATTTTCTATTTGGAAAGAAAACTACCATAAGAGGTTGTGTAATACTTTGCTTTCATGACAAATGATGAAAACATTTTTTTCCCTATATATTTAAAGGCAGAAAACTGCAGACAAAACAATATTGTTTTGCAGCTGTAATAGAAGTTGAGGTATTGAGACTACAAATTTTAAAGCTGCATTGTTGGCATGCATTCTTTAACTTACATGTTTTTAATCTGGAAAGTATTCTGTAAATCTTTTCAGATCTTTTCAGATTTACAGAATAATCATTTGCTTAGAACTTCAACTTATTTAAGACTGTACACAACAGGTTATTCTGGGTATGTCTGAAAACATAACTGAGCATGTAAAACTTCATTTTAAAGCATTTCTCAAGTGCTTAGAATGTATTCAAAACTTTATGTTCCATTAGTATTTTTAAAGCATCTGAATCTCAGAATTTCTGAGTCTTTCCTTTTATAAATAATGCTTAAGACAGCAACGCTGAGGAAGAGTAAGGGAGCACTGTACGTGATTACTGTAATTTGTAGAGAAAGGAGATTGTTGGAAAAGCAATTTGGACTTCCACTGGTCTATTTTTCAAATCCCCTTGGTTGTCTTGTATCTAGTAGAGGATATCTTGCCAGACATGGCAAATGTTTCACAGATAAGACTATGGAAGGTATGCATTTAATACAACAGGAAAAGTACTTCTGGTGTTTACTGCTCTTGTCTGTGAACCTTGAGGGGGATGATAGGCTAAAAAGGAGATTGTTAGTACTGATTTTTTGTTTATTTTTAGTCATCCCCAGGATTGGATGTGATGTAGCACACCAAACCTACAAAGCTGGAATCAAATTGCATGCTTGCAATTGGCCCCATGTCATCTTTTGTTGTCACTATTCTCTCAGCATAGGTTAGACCTCTGCAATAGAATCATTTTCCCTTGCAGTTTACTGTTTTGGTGTTTGATCCAGTTTTCCTTCAATACACCTTTACAAAGTGAGGTTTGGGAGTAAGAAGAAGTTTTTTGAAGACTTTTTCAAAAATCCATTGAAAAATATTTGATGGAAGATAAAATTTTACAGAAACTGTAGCTGTGTGCACATACACTGACTAGATGTTTTGTGGATCATTTTCAGGTGTGTACCAAGTTTGTAACTGGTTATTCAGGATGTTTTGTCACATGCATTTCCTGTAGTCTTGCTTAACTACAGTTAGCTCTAAAGCACTGGAGAAGTCCTTATTGAAAATGTTTCCACCGAGTACTTGGAAACATTTTGATAAACTTGTGACTGTAACTTTCTTTAGATGCATTCCAAAGAAACAAGTTTGCTTGACTAGTTTTGGAAAGTTTGAATGTAGCCAACATGAATGTGTGCCAAGGCAATTAAACTGTGACCAGACACAGGATCCTGTTTGTGACACGGACGGCGTGGAATACAGTAATGTGTGCACTCTGTACCAAAAAGGAAAAAATCTGGCCTATCGAGGACCATGCCAGGTAAGGAATACGTAAAGAAATGAATATTAAACCTCTGTTCTTTTATTTCGATTGTACAGGATCCTGCTTTTGTCATTTAGAAAATGTTTACGTCGATAGTGATCCTTTAAAACTAATTTTGACTAGTATAAGAATGCACCAAATGATATCTGGGATTTTAAGTGTGGAGGTGTTTGAGACAGACATCTCAAAACCAACCAAAAGCTTTGCTTCTCCTTTCTTAGGGGAAATCCTCTGATGCTTGTATTAAGTCTTCTTATTAAGTCTTCTGCTGCAAACACACTCCAACGCAAGCTTTAATTAAAGCAGTTCCTTGGGTAGGAATCCCAAATAACACCAAGTTGAACTTTTTCTAAGTGAAAATTATTGCTTCATCGTGTCTCCTTTGTAGTAGATCTATTTTTTTCAGAATATTTTGGAACAATTTCACTCGCGTGTTAATTTTCACTATGCTGATATTGGGAGTTTGAGGCTCAGGGTCTCTCCCATCTTGGCAGTAAAAGGCTTTCTGTGGAAAGTCATTAGCCTTTTGTTTGATTTTGTAGTGTTTTCTTTAGACAGTCTGTATTTGATCGTTCTTCACATTAATCCCTCTTAAGGAATAGAATTAATGAGATCTTCAGTCCCACCATTCCCTGCAGTAGATGGGTAGTAGTTGGCAGATGGGCTGTTTCTATTGCTCTGCAGACAGGCTAGGAGCTCCTCTTTACAGAGTTGCTGGCTTTACCATTTGTAGGCTGGTTATCTCTAGATTTTTCTCAAACAATGGGGATGAATCTGAAATGAGCCTGTGAAGAGTCACTGATTCCATTTGCTTTTGCCTGTATTCAGAAGGTTAAGTCTGTTGGCTTTTGCCTTCCTGAAAATGCTGAACAAACGTATCTGCGAAGATGAGATGGAGGGAATGTTACAATTTTCTGTTATTTTGAGGTGTATTTGAATCAAGTGATGCTGCATGTGCTTCTGTGAGGAAAAAATGGAGACAATAAATACATTTATTTTTTTACAAAGGTCTCAATCATATGTATTTTTCCCCAGAGGTGTGTAGTAATAGACTTTATTCCCTTGAAATAAATGTAGACATGTAGCTTTTCAAATAATGTGTTAGAAATACTACATTCTAAGAACATAAAAAAAAACACATGGAGATGAGTGATAGAAATAAATACATTTAATAAATTAAATGAAATTACAGTCATTATTAGTACAGAACTAAAATTCTTCTTCCCCAAACGTGTCTTACTACACATTTCTCAGATTCTAACTTAGATTCTTCTGTCACCTTCAAGTATTTTTCTTCAATTATTTTCTGTGCTTATTACCTGTTCCTAAACTGGCAGATACTCCTCACTCTAGATTTGTTTGTTTTTATCTGAATGTATTGGCCACAAATACCCATGTATTTTGATTTACCTAATGTTAACAATGCTTTTTGCTGGCAGCATGAATAAATTGATCTTCAAAGCATTTCTGTGTGTTTCAGCCATTCTGCAAATCAGTAGAACCTGTGTGTGGACATAATGGGGAAACCTACAGCAGTGTGTGCGCTGCCTATTCGGACCGCGTGGCCGTTGACTATTATGGGCCCTGCCAGGCTGTGGGTGTGCTCTCAGACTATGGCTTTCACACAGAGTGTGCCTTTGTTAAATGTCCCCAGCTTTCTGCTGCTGGCTGCAAACCAGTCGTTGCACCAGGTACGTTAACTCAATGTTGAAGTTTACTGCACGTCTCCAGGCCATCTGCATTCATAAATGTGTACTTAGAATTAAACTCATGGCTTAAAATACTGAATTCTGTTACGTCTTTGAGACATCCAAGAGGAAGAATGAAATGGAGATCTTTAGTTAAGGCTGGAACAAGGCGTTGCTGGGACTCAGCTAAGTGATTTCAAAGTGGGAAGGCCTTTGGCTTTTAGGAACCATGTTCCTTCACTATTTAGAAACTTGCAGCTGTGCCCACAGGGAGAAATGAATGAGGTCTGTGGTGCATAGGGTATAATGTCAGTACAATCCAGTAGGAACCAGATGAGTAATTTTTCAGAACTGAAAGCACAGATGCACCTTGGGAATGCCAAACTATTCTCAAAATAGAGTTCCCAGAATAACAAAGATTATATTTAATTTAGAAGACACAGTAAGATATCAGTTGTATTTACAATACTGTGAAGAAGGAAGTAGGAATAGTCCTGCTATTTTGTATTTTCATTCTTCTCACAAGTACTTCCTCAAGGAAGCAGTAATTAATTATTCACAGAGGTCAATTTTCAGAAAGCTTCAAGTGGTTTTTCTCATTCAGTAGTTTAAAAATGGCTTATGTGCTTTACTGTTATATCTAATATAGTAACAGTCATTCTTAGAATGTGAATTACTTAGGGGCATGAACTGATATGAACATACAACAGTGGGTAGGCAGAAAGTTGAAATATCAGCCCTTTTGTTTCCAAGACAGTGAGGGAAAGTACAGGGGAAGCACATGCTTCTGTGTTAGAACAGATCTATGGGTTTTCCTGCTCTAGCTGTATACAGATTCTAACGTGCAACTCATAAGGAAATGTTTGCAATGTGCAGTTACACATCTGTTATATCATCACTATTTCAGCTTCTGAAATTCATAACTTCTGTAGTTGCCTATGACTTCATACAGTATCTTGTCTTGCAGTACCTATGCCCTTTAGCTCCAATAATGTTATATTGAAACAATTTTTTGTCTTGTTGCCTCACTTTGTAGTTGTAAATATGTGACTATTTATGCACTGTGAAGATTTTCAACATTTGAAAAAAAAAGGTTGTGCACTTCTGCTATCAAAGTGAAAAGTGTTTGTTCTTCTTTCAGAGATTTTATTGTTTTTCTCACTTAATCCCACAGGAGCTTGCTGCCCACTGTGCGCTGGAATGCTGAGAATATTATATGACAAAGATAAGCTGGACAACTTTGCAAGGGTAAAGTTCAGTCATTCCTTGTGTTAAAGGGTACATGGAAAGGTCAAACTATTTTATACCCTTCTGAAAAGTTAAATATTATAAAATCAGTTATTTTTCAGGTTTTTTAATACTTCCCATTATTTCTTAACATTTGGATCTAGAAATTGAACGACAGTTCAAAACAAAACCGAATTGGCATAGACAACAACAAGCACATTAAGTTGCAGTTTAAATGACTTTCAACATAAAGGCATGCTAAGAAAACTCTGCTTAGCTATCTCATGGCACCAACACAGTTTGTGTTTGTTGTTTATGGCACTTATTATTCTGCTGACTTAACTATTTTCTAATGTGGGTAACTTAGTTCTGACGTTGCCTTTGGATAGTTTTACACTCTTCATGTTTATCTAGATGGTTATTGATGGTTTGTTTTGCTCTTCAGCTAAAATGTCTTTGTAAATGTTCTTTTTTTAACATATCTATAAGTTAGATGCTTGCATTCTTCATTGCAGTTCTTTGAAAACCTCTAGTTTAAAATGGATCTTATGCTGACTGGCCATCACTGAACACAACATTCTAGGTCCAGCCTCACCATATGATGTGTAAAAGAACTACATTTCTCTTTTGGCCCCTGCTTTCATGCTTCAGTATATGGAACACAGTATAACACTTAGAGTCACAGAATCACAGAATTGCTCAGGTTGGAAAAGACCTTCAAGATCATCAAGTCCAACCACAACCTGACCATACTACCCTCACTCTAACAACCCTCCGCTAAGTCACGTCCCTGAGCACCACATCCAAATGGTTTTTAAACACATCCAGGGATAGTGACTCAACCACCTCCCTGGGGAGCCTATTGCAGTGCTTAACAACACTTTATCTAAAGGTGTTTGTCACGATATCCAACCTAAACTTACCCTTGTAAGGTAAGTACCCTGTGAGCTGTAACTTGAAGCCATTTCCTCTTGTTCTGTCACCTGTCAAGAGAGAAGAGACCAGCCCCACTCTTACTGTAAGCACCTTTCAGATATTGGAAGAGAGCAGTAAGGTCTCCCCTCAGCCTCCTCTTCCCCAGACTAAACAGCCCTCCTCAGTCTCTCCTCATAGGTTCCAAGCCCTATTCTCCAAGCCCTTCACCAGCCTTGTTGCCCTTCTTTGGACCTGCTTCAGCACCTCAGTGTCCTTTCTTTACCGACATGCCCAAAACTGAACTCAGCACTGGAGGTGAGGCCTCACCAGTGCCGAGTCCAGGGGCAGGATGACTTCCCTGGTGCTGCTCAACACACCATTCCTGATCCAAGCCAGGATGCCATTGGCCTTCTTGGCCACCTGGGCACACTGCTGGCTCATGTTCAGCCCACTGTCCATCAGTACACCAAGGTCCCTTTCCATCAGGCAGCTTTCCAGCCACTCCTCCCCAAGCCTACTGTTGCCTGGGGTTGTTGTGACCAAAATGCAGGACCTGACACTTGGCCCTATTGACACTCATCCAGTTTGCCTTGGCCCATTGATCCAGTCTATCCAGGTCCCTCTGTAGTGCTTTTCTGCCCTCTGGCAGATCAACACTCCCTCCCAACTTGGTGTCGTCTGCAAACTTACTGAGGGTGCACTCAATCCCCTCATCAAGATCGTTAATGAAGATGTTAAATAGAAGCAGCCCCAGTACCAAGCCTTGGGGGACACCGCTTGTTACCGGCCACCAACTGGATTTAATTCCATTGTCCACAGCTCTTTGGGCCCAGCCATCCAGCCAGTGTTTCACCCAGCAGAGCACATGGCCATCCAAACCGTGAGCAGCCAGCTTCTCCATGAGGATTCTGTGGGGGACAGTGTCAAAGGCTTTAACTGATTTGTGGCACCACATCACAACAAAATGTGCTGCTTATTGAAGTATATTTGTATCTGCATGTGATCTTCATTTAAAAAATCAAAAAGAAAGAATTTGCTCAAAACATTTCACAAGTCCACTAACCTATTTAGACACTCAGAAGTAGAGATAATTAATAATTTCCAGGTAGACCTAAGCATGCAGGCAGGTTCGCTGTGCCCAACGCTGAGTTGGGCAGAGAGGAACCTTACAAAATTCAAGGCCAATTCCTATTTCTGGGGAGGAAAAACAGCATGCATCAGTACAGGTTATGGGCTGACCTGCCGGAAAGGAGCTCTGCAGACAAGGTCCTGGGTTTCCTTATGGACAACAGGCTGGCCATGAGCCAAGGTGTTCTTGTGGCCAAGAATGCCAGTGATATTCCAGGCTGCATTAAAAAGAGTGTGGCCAGCAGGTTGAGGGAGGTTATCATTCCCCTCTGCTGTAGTGAGGCCACATCTGGAGTACTGTGTCCAGTTCAGTTCTAGAGATCATATATCTCTAGAGGTCCCTGCCAGCACCTATGATTCTGTTTCTCTAATTAGCTATTATAAGAACACAGGAAAGAAAAATAGATGGAGCAGGAGAATGGTGCAAAGCATGAAAAGCTAAGCATGGGAAGTGAAAAGCTCTCTTACTCCAATGAGGGAGAGGCAGCAGGGGGCCTAATGAGAACCAAATTAAGTTCTCTACTTGCCTAGGGAGCAAATGCCCATAGGACCTGTCTGAGAGAAATGATAATACTATTTTGCATTAAATCACCCATGAAGTGCTTTGCTTTTTTCCAGGTAACCAATAAAAAGCCTATAACTGTACTTGACATACTTGAAAAACTCCGCCTGCACGTTTCCGTGCCACAGTGTGATGTGTTTGGGTATTTAAGCATAGAATCTGAAATTGTGATTCTCATCATTCCTGTGGATCAGAAACCCAAACCATTGCAGGTAGGTTATATTCTTATTTTATTTACCCAGCTTGGATTTACATCATTTTAGTATGTATGTACTTCATTATTTTCAATATAGCAGTTTTAAAATTGTTTTCCTGTGTGCTGAATACATGGGGATCTCTCTAGTGACTTGACTGCAAATGGCAAAACATGCCTTGAGAATCCTGCTGTCCTGGTAAGAGGCTTTTGAGTGTGGATCATTGAACAGGTGAGGCAAAGGAAGGCCAATGATCCAATAACACAGTTTTTCTTTTACAGTGAATAAGTGCAGAACTTTCAACTTTGTATGGCTAACACAGCAGAAAATATACTTACTAGTGAAGGACATCTTCAATTAATATTGTGTAATAAGTGGATTTTTGCATGAAATGGCACTCCTCTGTGGCTGGTGTCAGGGTTAAAAGTAGGTGGGTGTACAAGTAATATTAAACTGAAGCACATCTGTGTACTGGTATCACAGTAATATGTTGTGCTATCTTGATGTAAAGCAGTAGCTCTTACCAAAGAGGATTTATGGACACTATATTCTGAGATGTGCAAGGACATCCCAAAACGCTGTTGTATCCTTAAAAATGAAATAATGCAATTAAATAAGCTGCCCAGCATGCTGTGTCATTCATGCTAGCAAATAAGAGCCAAAAGCTCACAGTACTAACCTCTAAGTGTAAACCAGCAAATGCAGGTCAAAATTCTTGTAGTCTTTTCTTAGGAATGCTTTAGAGCAGCAGCAAGACTCTGGCAGTGAATTGCACTTTTATTATTGTAGAGCTGTTGCTTCACTTTTAATTTGTTAAACCTGTGCAAGACCAATGAGGATATCTTCTTCCTTTTCAAAGGAACAAAACTCCTTGCCATTTTATAGTTGCTAATAGTCTTGTTTTGCCCTGCTGACAGCATGTTACAATGGAGTGCCATGGGGATGCTTTTGTGGTTTCAGCCAGCAGGCAGCAAAGCACCACACAGCATTTGCTCACTCCCTTGCCCCCAGTGGGATGGGGGAAGAGAATTGGGGGAACAAAGCATAACTCACAAGTTGAGATAAAGACTATTTTCTAAGATGAAAAAAGGAAATAGTAATAATGATAATATATGAAACATGTATGTTTACCAAATAAGTGATGCACAACACAGTTGCTCACACCCACTAACCAATGCCCAGCCAGACGCCATGTCGCAGCTGCCCCCTGCAGCCAATCCCTCCTAGTTTCATAGTTCTACACAACACCATATGGTGACTAACATCCCTTTGGCCAGTTTAGTTCCGCTGTCCTGGTTCTGTTTCTTCCCAGCTCCTTGTGCTCCCCAGCCTCCCTGCTGGCAGGGCAGTACAAGAAGCCAAGAAACTGAAATGACCTTGGCTGTGTACAGCATTGCTCTGCAACAGCTAGAACTTTTGTGTGTTACCAACATTTTTTTTCTCTAAAGACAACAAAACAGCACAACACTGGTGACTGAACAAAATTATCTCAGTTGAAACCACGACAGATGCTCTGGTGGTTCCTTCTGTCACCTTACATATCAACGTGCACTAGTTGAAAAGTGAGAACTTAGCTTCGAAAAGGAAGGGGGAAAAAAGGAAATCTGTCCACAGTCTCTCATCTTTTACTATTCAAACAATTTAGGCAGGTTGCTTTTGTTGTGGTGGTTTTTTGTTGTTTTTGCTATTTGGGGATTTTTTTGCTATTTTATATTCATATGTGCTTCCTGTTTCTTTTTCATTTCTGCAATCTAATTCTGCATGGTCAGAATTGCTTACGGGTTGGTCTGAAGTTATCAGTGTATAAAATGACTGTCATAAATTCTGCAAGCTGCAGTATCAAACAGGCCATTTGTTTCTCAAGACAGAAACACTGTAGGTATTTTGCTACTGGAGCAAACAGCTGTTATGTCCAGTTCTGCTCCGACGTTTATCTCCTGTAACAGAAACAGCTCAGAATGTTACCAGTACTTAGGAAATGAGGTCTTGGGCCTTCATCCATCTCTTCACACTGAGTGAAGAGGAATTGCCTTGGGCTGCATATACAGAAGTTACTCAGAAATTAATACCTCCTATTTATTTCTGTGGAAACAACAACAAAGATCACAATCACACTATTTGACAGAGCAAATTCTCATCTCTAAAACACTATTCTCCAATGCAGTCATCACCATTAGCTGTGCATTTTCACCAGCGATGAAAAAGAATCGGCATGCTTCACTCATAAAAGTCTACACCAGTGGAGATGACCCACTTCACCACTGCTGAAGCGCACCACCTCACTGTGCTCACATCCACTGCTTGGTCTCTAGAAACTTTCAGTAAAAATCAGTGGGCACAACATTTTCTGCATGGAGGAATTCAGTGGCACGCCTTTGCTTCATGGGCATTGCCATGGCAGGCTCCATTTTGTCAGACTGCCCCACTGCCGCTGTCTCTGAAATGGCAACAAAATGTGAGGGAACATTGGCAGGAAGGTTCAGCCTCATCTGCCTCCGATGTTTTGGGCCAACATAACAAAACAGGAGGCATTACTTTTGGATACAGCATCATTAATGAAAGCATTTCATTTTAAAATATTTTCTTAAAAAGTTAAAAAAGAGAGGAAGAGACCGCAGAACCAGCAGGCTGCTCGATCCTGTCTTTGTGAAACTAGCACGTCAGGGCTGTGCCTCAACATTCAGAGCTTTGGGCCTCCAGGCACAAAGTTTGTGAAAGCACAGACTTGCAGGAAGCAGCTCTCGAGGCTGCTACAGATCATTAATTCTGAACTTATTCCTGGGATGCGGTAGAAGGTAAGATGGAAAAAGCAATTCTAAAGTGAATTCGTTATTTCGTCAATGGGGGAATTAAAAGCAAACGACTTTACATCTCAGTTCCCTCAGGCTTTGCTTTTATTTCCTTTTCTTTTTTTCTTCCTTTCCCGTAAAAGAAATCAGCTTTTGCTGACTGGAGGAAAAAAAGCCCATTAAGTATAAAATCCTGATTTCCCAGTTGCAGATTTCAAGGCACTGTCCTGCTCAGTGTGGAAGTTCTCGGGCACTTCTAGTTCTAATTTACTGTGAGCTTTTTGGTGCCAACATTCAAAACGTGTCACCCTCAATAATTCACATGGAGCTTCCTTCTTCCTCTGTTGCTGCTTCCACAGTAGTTTCCCAGTAGCAAAGCCCATGATGGGAGCTCCACCATGTCTTTCTTAGCAGCTGCACTGAATCACTGTTACAACTCTTACACACTGATTGCAATAATTAGACTTTTCTTTCTGAGTTTTTCTGCCACCAGTGAGATGTTTGCATTGCATTGCATGTTACATGACAAGAGAAACAATAACTTTTTTCTTCCTAGATTGAAGCCTGCAATAAAGAAGCAGAAAAGATAGAGTCGCTGATCAATTCAGACAGCCCAACATTAGCATCACACGTACCTCTGTCAGCCCTAATTGCATCTCAAGTACAAGTTTCGTTTAGCATTTCTTCTCCTTCTGTTAAAGTGGGGCCTGTGCTGCACTGCCTGTTCATCAGTTTCTCATTTACCTTGCTAAAATTAATGCATTACATATAGCTACAAAGCAAACACACCAGTATCAAGGTATTTTACGTTGTGGAGAACATTGGGAATTGTTGATCACCGAAGCGGAAAACACAAACTGTAGAAGACTCGACGAACTGACGTTTCTCACTGAAGAAGGAAGAGTATTTGGAATAAGCTGAAAGATGATTCTTTTATTCCTCACTACCAAAGTGTTTGTTTCAGCACAATTAGATCATTTTCCACAGATGTACATTGGAAGGTTCTGACTTCATGGATCTCTATTCGTGAGAAGGTTCTCAGTGTTCATTTCAGCAGTGAACAAAGCGTTGTGAGTTTACTGAAAAATGGTAACTTTGTGTTATTCAGACAAATATCAGTGACTGCAAAATGTACGTGCCTGTTCTAAGCATCATTTTTTGAAGAAACAAAGTGCTGCTACTTCATTACCTTACCAAAAATATGAGTTTATTCTCATGTAAATACACTTTCGTATTTTATTATGAAGGAAACTAACCAGGCCTGAGCCTGTTTCAACAGACATCTTTACTTGGACCAGTGAAGATTCATGGGACGTTGGGCTCAGTGCTTCTGAAATGACAATCAAGCTCTATACCTGAAGTACCTGAAGAAATGAAGAAATGTTTTCTTTTTATAGTTTTGTATATTTCAGAATCTCGTATTAGATGCAAATTTATAAAGAATCTCATTATCTCTATTTAAGTGCCATTTAAAATATTGCAGTATTTGCATGTTATCTAATGAAAATTATACTTTAAATATGTTTAAATGTTTACACAGTGTTTTATTTCTTATTGTATTCTATGCACCTGACCTTACTCTGCATGAAGTATTTTGTATCAGTATTATGATAACCAACTTTGGAAGTATTTACAGATTTGTTTTGCCAAAATGCTGAACTTTGAAAGCACTGAAAACTTTTTGAACATGTATGTTATTGTAGCATGTCTGTAGCAAATATTTTATGCTAAATCTTTTAAATTTAAAAGTATTAAAGCTTTTTTATCTTAATAAAGCTGTTATTTGTCCTTATACAGGAAAGCACGTTACAGAATTCTGCACAACAGTAATTTCTTCTTTCTTTCTTTCTCAAATCAATACATGGAACTAATTACAACCATTACATACATAAGTGACTTACTTAGCTTAAATTTTCCAAAGAAAGTGAATTTCAAGTGCCTGGGTTTTACTTTTTTCTTTGCCACAATTCTGTGTAATACGTATGCACACTTTCAATATGTGTCAGACTTGACGAATCACAGAGGAAGGATATTTTTTGGGACCATCATCATAAGGTTATGGTCAGTCACCCATAGTTTTGATTTGGTCATTCTGCACAGTAGTAAATCTGCACAAACATTAAGGACAGATTCAATACCTTATTTGTACCCAAAATTTAAGGCTCAGGGTCTTCCAAAGCAATCCAAGTCTTTAGCTGTGTTTTCTTGCAAGCCCACACAGTGAAGTTCTTAGAAAAGGATTCAAAGTGAATCTCCTGCCATTGTGGCCTATTAATGAATGAAGAGCAGTTTTATATTTTAAGTGCTAATTTACTGTTTCTGAGCAGTGAGGGCAGATGAGTGTACAAATGCAGCTCATCTTGGAAAGCGTTCTACAAAGTATCTACAGGAAGACTGATGCGCATAATCAAAGCCTTGATAGAAGGAAACAGCTGAACATCTCTATGGTTTCTTTTTGCATATTCCTTAGAAACTCGGACACGAGTATAATGAATGAACGCATCTGAAAAGCTTTTCTTTCCTTTTTTTTTTTTAAAGCTGAAATAGCTTTAAATGATCTCTGAAACTGCAATTTTTTTTGTCAAATTGTTAGTGAGTATCTACAAAACAGTTTTTCAACACAGTCACCACCATTAGCTGTGTACTGCTGCCAGTGATGAACAAGAGCTTTGTATGCCACACTCATAACAATCTGCATGGCCATTCAGAACATGGACTGGCTTTTGTGTCACTGCTGAAACTCACCACCCCCCACCTCACTGTGCTCACATCCATTGCTTGGTCTCCAGAACCATTTGTAAGTTGATGAATGTCACTGGGTGCCATTCTTTCCGCACAGAGGAATTCAGTTACACGCCTTTGCTTCATGCACGCTTCCAAGTCAGACACCATTTTGTCACACTGCCCCTCTGCTGCCCTCTTTTGCACAGCAACGAAATGTAAGGGAATATTGGTGAGAAGATTCATCCTCTACTGCCATACCACCAACATCCACCTCTGATGCCACGGGCCAATAGATAGGAGCCAAAATAGGAGGCATCACTCCAGGAGCAGCCCTTGTTCAAGGAAAGACTGAGAGTTTGGAATGTTCAGCCCAGAGATGAGAAGGCTTAGGGGATGTTGTCAATTTGTACACATATGTGACGGAAAGTAATATGGGCGTGTAAGTCAGACCCTTTTCTGTACTGCTTGCTGATAGGACAAGGCATAACGGGCATAATAAAGAATAAAAATAATACCAGCTGAATAGAAAAAAAATGGCTTTACTGTGAGTGATCAAACACAGGTACTGGTTTCCCATAGAGACTATGGAATCTCCCTCCTTCAAAACATTCAAAACATGACTGGACACACAGTTCTCTGCAACTTGCTCCAGACGTCCTTGCGTGAGCAGGCCTGATTAAATAATTCGGAGAAGTCTCCTTCCAGCTCATCAATTCTGTGATTTTGTAATAAAGATCCGAACAGCCAGAAAGGTAGTTTTATACATGCTTAACAATTTGCTGGTCTCCTCACTTATTATGCACTTTAAAACTCTGGCTGTCTCTCGAATTTGAAACTCTCACCCATGTCATATTTTCTTTTTGCATGTTAATTAGCCAGGGGTGCATCAAGAAGAGCATGGCCAGCAGGTAGAAGGAAGCAATCCTCCCCCTCTACTCTGCCTGGTGAGGCCACATCTGGAGTACTGCGTCCAGTTCTAGGCTGCCAAAGCACCATCAGATTAATTACCAGGAGAGGAGCCTCTACTAGAAATTTGAAATTATGGCTTTCACAAGCACTTGACAAAATTAAGTGCGTGTGATAAACAAAGCGCCGGTCATTTGATGAAATTAAATAAAGCAAAGACCTTGCATGCGTGGAGTTTTTTGAAGGGTGGTTAACACAGAAAGTCTACTGAATCCTTATTTGTCATTTCACAGCTTAATGAATAACTTGCATTGTATCTCACCAACAGGTGATGCCTAGCAATTACTGTTAAATTCAAAGTAAACTGAATACTATGGAAAGTAAAGCCTCCGATTTATTTCCATGGAAACTACAGCAGAGATAAAGAGCATATTAATATTATTTCACAGAACAGGCTCTCAGCTATGAAACACTATTTCCCAACACAGTCATCACCATTCAGTGAGCACTTTCACCAGTGAAGAGCAATAGCCTGCATTCCTCACTCAGAAAAATCCACACCTGCAGAGGTGACCCACTGCCACCACTGCTGAATGTAGCACCCACTGACTCACTGTGCTCACACTCACTCTCTGGGTTCAGGAACGTTCAGAAAGTGTTGATGAATGTCAAGAGGTGCAAAGTTTTCTGCATGGAGGAATTAAATTACAAACCTCTGCTTCATATGCACTTCCATGTAAGATGCCGTTCTGACAGAACGCCCCTCCACTGCCACCAGTCGCATGGCAACAAAACATAGTGGAATATTGGCAGGAAGGTTCAACCTCTACTGCTATATCATCACCATCCGCTCCCAACGGTGTGGGCCAACATAATGAAATAGGAGGCATTACTTTCAGAGCAGCCCTTGTATATCACTGTCGCAGTGGCTCCAAAAACCCCACAGCTGCATGTATGCTGAATTAAAGCAGCAGCCTGCGTTGCTCCAACCTCCTCTCAGCTCCGCTCTCCAGACATCTCTGCTGGCCACAGGTACCTCTGGCTCAACTTCTGGAGGCCCCAGACTGCACAGCTCCAGTGTTACCACCTGCCACTGTGATTCCCCAGATACAGGCTGGTGATGGGAAACGGACTCCTCATACAAGAACAGATTGTATGCTTTTATTTAGTAACATGAACAACAACAATAATTCTTCCGGGGTTTATTGCCAAAATTTGTCACTAGCATACTTCCAGCACAGCTCACCTTTCCTATCTTGGCTGAGTCCACACACACTCTATCAATTTCTCTGTCAAAAACCTCTCATGTCGATCTTTTCCCCTCTGATTTCCTTCAAGGTCCACTTCATTCAACCTGTTGAAAAGGAACAGGGCAAGGACCTTCAAACAGTAACTTCACTACAATGACAAACTCCCCAAACTGAAATCTGTACTTCCAACATTTGCAGGTATTTCTATTCAGGTGTTTCATTTTGTCAGCCATACATATAGCTGAGGACAACAGAAACAGTAGCAAGTACCTAGAATATCTGCTCTGAGAAGAAAATATAAGTTCAGTTCACCCAGTAGTCTTAAATTACAAAGTCTGTTGTTGTTCTGGGTCATCCCCAAACTAAAGCACAAAGAATTGTAAGTGCAATTTTTAGAACTTTTTGTTAGAATACTTCAGTGTTTTGTTATACATGCTGTATTTTACATTTTCCTTGTGTGGAGAAAACTTTGGAATTTTTTTTTTAATTAGGAAGTCTCTTGCCCAGGTTTCCCAACATCCTGAAAAAGAAGAGGAACAACAGCAGAAGAATCTACAGATTCAAGAGGAGATCTTCAGAATCTCGATTCTCAGGCAGAGGTCATGCTTACAAAAGAACCTCTGTAGTTCCTAACAGAGATGGAGGCCTCCAGCACTCCAAGCTCTCTCTGTACAGCACCACCTACCAGCACAAATTAATGCTAAGTTGATCAGCCTGGCTTGCCTGGGCTGCACTGACTGAAGAATAATTGTCTTGGGCCACACATGGAATATATAATGCAGTTATTGTACATAACTAACAAATCTTTGATTTTTATTTTAAAATATTTCAAAGATACAGAAGTAGAAAGCAACAAACCCATAAAACTAGTGGGATATTTGACCTTGTTTTTGTGAAACTAATGCATCAGTCTGGTTCAGTGGAAGTGGCTGCCATTCTCAGTGAGTTCTCAAGGTGCCTGTTGTAGATGTTTGATGAAATTCTCATCTTCCTGTGCCTAGCCCTCAAAAACAGTTGTTCACAATTGCACACACTGCCAAAAAGTGACAGCATGAGTAAGGCATGACTGTGAAGCAAGGAATATCTTTCTCCTCTAAGACAGGGCTTATAAAAATCTAGTAAAAAAAATAAGGTCAAATTTTTCATTGAGTTGAATGTCTGATTGCAGCTCTACACATTCCACTTGAAAATCTGCAGGTAATGTAACTGACTGAAAACAGCCACAAATACAGCAAAAATTGATGATTTTTTTCCAGAAATCTTGAAATCTAGTCCCAAATTCTTTTATCAAAACTGAAAGCAAAGCTGCTTATTTTTCACTATTCACAAGACCGTTTAGCCAGTGAATGAAAATACATACAACTGTTTGCCATCACTCGAGAGGGCACAGTGCAGTGCTAACTCACGTCCTCGTCTCAGCCCAAATCACTGACTGCACACCAGTTCAGTTGTTTCTGAGTGATGGGTGCATGGCCAGGGCAGGGCTGCCACAGTGTCACAGGGCAGGGGCGTAGCAGGGCAAGCTGTTCAGGGCCATGGTGGGCCACGCTTGGACCAGTAGCTCACAGGAGCCCTGTGGAGCCGCCGTTCCCAGCATGGTGTGGCTGCACACAGCCTAAACAACTTCCTTAGTAGAGGCCATCACCAGTCAGGTGACAACAGGTGACAACAGGTAATTTTGTGGGAGATGGTGGGTAACTGTTTCTCCTGAGATTGCTGAGCAGCCTGCTACCAGCATGTCCTTCATTGCTTTCCGACACCAGGGCTCAAGCATTCTCTGCAAGTTCCCCAAGTTGGACACCAGCACACTAAGAGATGCCTTTGAAGGCCTGGTGGCAAAAGGTTCCGCTGCTCCACTCGGGTGGCCACACTGCAAGTCTCTTGAGCAGAT